GGGTTCGTTTCTCCCCCTTTCCCTGTCCTCCCGCGTTTCATGCAACTCACGCAACACGCAACACGCAACACGCAACACGCAACACGCAACACGCAACACGCAACACGCAACACGCAACACGCAACACGCAACACGCAACACGCAACACGCACACGCAACACACAGAACGTGGAGAGAGGGAGGAGTTCGGCACTGATGAGGAAATGGAGGCGGGAGAGGGCCGCGGCGACAGCCGGGGCGGCAACAAGAAGGGCGGCCGTGCGGGCAACACCAAGGCCGACAAAAAGAACCAGCTCAAGATCAAGCGGGACGAGTTCTCGGGCCTCAACCGGGTGCAGAAGCGGCGCAAGATGCAGGAGAAGGCCATCAAGAAGTGGGCCGGCGAGGAGGAGATGGAGAAGCAGGCCAAGCAGGCCATCTCCGCGCGCCAGGCCAAGAAGGCCGACCGCGACCGTCGCAGCGGCAAGTTCGTGCCGCCGCCCGAGAACGCCGGCAAGCGCGGCAAGAAGCGCGCGCGAAGCGACGACGGCGGCGCGCCCGCGGGCGGCGGCGGCGGTGGTGGTTCGCGCTTCGAGGCGGACATGACGCAGCCCAAGAAGAAGCAGAAGGCGGCAGGGTCGGCCTTCGACGGCGAGAAGGGCGGCAAGGGCGGCAAGAGCGGGGCCGCCGACGGCGAGAAGAAGCATCTGGGCAAGAAGCGCGGCAACAAGGCCTTCAAGTCCAAGAAGAGGTTCCAGCGGAGGAAGTGATGACCTCCACCACGTTCCCCTCCCTTTACCGCCAACAAATTATTTCTTTGCATTTTGGCTCTCACGGTGCTTTGGAGAAGCGGGTGTTGGTCACGCCCGAGTGGTGGGTCGAGTAGTTGAAGCCGTTAGGGGCCGCTAACGTCATGACGCAGGCGCTCATCGATGATGCCACCATGGAAGTGGGTGGAGCCTATTCCTCCAATGAATAAAAAGATTCACATTCCAATATGTCGGAGTTGGAAACACTTCGACGTCACGTGCACTTGGCCAGGAAAGAGGAGTGGAACCAGCAACCAAACCTTCATCAGCCGTTGCCAGCTCCATGAGGCGCCAGAGCACGGCTTCGAAGTGTCCACTATCGGGTATAAAAGCAGAGAGATCATGTACGGAGCATTCAGTATCACTCACATCTTGACCTGCAACAAGCTCACCTCACGACTAAGCTCCACCGAATCATCAGCAACATGCGCTTCGTAGCCTTCGTCTTGCTTGTGTTGGCCGCTCTCTGCGGTACCGCCACTCACCACCGTGGTTGATCTGTCAAGGTTGGTGTTGATGTATGTTGGTTGGCATGGACAGTGGTGGCCAGGGCCAATGATTGCATCATGTCCAAGTGCCCTCACGAACTCGACGCCTGCATCAACGACGCCACCTGCGCCGCCTCCCTCGAGTGCTCTGTGGCCTGCGAGGACACCGCCTGCACCCAGCAGTGCGCCCACAAGGCGTACGTCTCTTCTTCCCTTCTCCGCCTTCGCCTCCAGTCTCTGCTCACACCGCACCGCACACACATAACTGCAACACACGCACACGCACACGCACACGCACACACTCAGGAGCTGCAATGACGCGTTCAAGAACATGACGGCCTGCGCCTCGCAGTGCCTGCCCGAAGTGCACGCCCAGGTGCTGGACCTCATCGCCGAGGAGGAGGCCGAGACGCTGGAAGACGAGCTGCTGTGGGCGTCCAAGTCCAAGTGCAAGTTCCTCAAGAAGGCCAAGTGCGCCGTCAAGGTCGCCCTCGCCATCAAGCAGTGCAGCCACGACATCCCCTGCATCATCCAGAAGCTCAAGAGCTGCGCCAAGTGGTACGTACCTCGGCTCCCGCGCGTGTGCGGTGGTGCGTGTGCGTGTGCGATACTCACACATGAGTGTGTGCGCACACAGCTTCTGCTCGATGGTCAAGTGCAAGGGTCCCTGCAAGAACATCTGCTGATGAGCTTCCCCTCCACCATACCACTACCCCTCATGTGTACCATTCGCTTTAAAGAAAAAGGAGACGACTCTTCGTCGTCGTCGTCTCTTGTAGTTTTGTTTAATACCTTCTCCTACTCGACCACTTGATCGTCTCGCTCTCCTTCTGCTCCTGGGTTGATGTTGATGTTGATGATGAAGGTGCCGATGGCGGTTGGTCTTGGTTGAGTTGTTGCTGGTAGCGCGCCTCGAGCTGCTGGAGCACGCGCTCCACCCGCGTTGGCTCGGGGATGTCGCCCCGCTCGCGCTTCTCACGCAGCTGGCGCTGCACCTCGGCTCCCACCTCCTGCCACGAGTTCTGCCAGTCCGGTGCCGACGACGTGGCCACCACAGCCTCATCTAGATCGGTGCGGTGTGTGAGCAAGACGGCAGTGTGAGTGAACATCGGCTATGTTCGCATCTTTGTCAAGATGAAGATGAAGAAGAGAGCAAGTAGTACAAAATCCGGATTTAATCATGGCAAATTCGAGCAGGCCGCCAGCTGCAAAGGAGATGAGGCCCAGCTTGGCAAACCATCGCGGACCGAACGCGCGCCTCCCTGCTCCTGCCGCATTCTGCATCTTCTCGTTCTCTGCCGACGCTCACGTTGCGATTACAATCGATTTGCTTGTTCGCTTCGCAAACGTCTTTCATTCATTTCAAAACACGTTTCGAAAATTTTGTTTCCTTTCCCAACCATTTGGGATTTGTCGTTCAGGCGTGCTGTTGCTGGTTGCTGCTCGTGGCGGCGATGAGGTTGAGCGCCGAGCCGGCCTTGAACCAGGCGATCTGGCCCGGGTTGAGCGTGTGCTGGAGAGTCACCCCGAAGCTCTCCTCCTGTCCGCCACCGGCGGCGGCTCGTCGCGTCACCTTGGCCCGAAGCGGCTTGCCCTCCTCAATCTCGCCCACACCCTCAATCGTGATCTTGTCGCCTCCTGCAATCCCCATCCCCATGAGCCACCACGGCACACGGCACACGGCACACGGCCCACGACCCACGACCCACGACCCACGACACACACGACCCACGACACACACGACACACGACACACGACACACGACACACGACACACGTTGGGCAGGGTACCGGTGATCTTGTCGTAGTCGGCGGGGTCGGCGAAGGTGAGCGGCAGGATTCCCTGCTTCTTGAGGTTGGTCTCATGGATGCGCGCAAAGCTCTGCAAGCGCGAAGAGCGAAGAACGAAGTGAAGGTGAGCGTCAAGCAAACGCAGGCGGCAACACAGCTGGCGGCGGCGGGGGTCGCGTGCCTGGCAGATGATGGCCTGTCCGCCGAGGTAGCGGGGCTGCAGGGCGGCGTGCTCCCTCGCGCTGCCCTCGCCGTAGTTCTTGCCCGCGACCACCACCCACGGCAAGCCCGCCTTCTGGTACTCGCGCGCCACATCTGCCGACCGGGTCGAGGTCAGTCCACCCGATGCGCGAACACAAGTCAGTCGTGCGCGACGATGATGGGTGGCGTACCGGGAACGGTGCCCTCCTTGCCGGTCAGCTGGCTGACCACGGCGTTGACCTTGCCGGTGTCGGCGTTGACGGCGCCGATCAGCGTGTTGTTGGCGATGTTCTCCAGGTGGCCCTTGTACTTGAGCCACGGCCCTGTCAATTACCATCGACCGAGCGTGAGTCAATCTACACCCTTTCGGCGCGTCGTGTTCATCGCACATGGCACACGCGGCATACACACGGCACACACGGCACTCACGGCACACACGGTACGTACCGGCAGCGGAGATGTGGTCGGTCGTGCACTTGCCCTGAACCTTGATCAACACCGCAGCGTCGCGAATGTCCTTCTCACCCTTCGGCCAGGGGGCAAACGGTTCCTATGAAAGAGGCGAAAACGAAATGGGCCGCGTCCAGTTAACGTTCGGAGAGCGAGAAAGAAGAACGAAGAACGAAAGCGAAGAAGAATGCGACGCGGTGTACGAGGAGTTGAAGGCGGTCGCTGGTGGGCGAGACGGCGACCTCGAGGGACGCCCGCTGGTCGGCCGGCGGCGGGGCCAGGTAAGTGTCCTGGCTACGGCCCGCATCGAATCCAGCAGCGGGAAGCGTGGCCGTTGCCTGATCGTATCCACACGACACACACACACACGACACACGGCACGCACGGCGATCAACGCACGACCAAGAGGCAAACCGAGATGGGGAGCGGGTGGTACCGCGGCGTCGGGGCTCTCGAGTTTGTACTTGTTGCCCTGCGCGTCGGTGAGGTAGTCGGTGGTCGGGTTGAAGGTGAGGCTGCCGGCGAGCGACATGGCGGTCACCAGCTCGGGCGAGGCCAGGAAGTTGTGGGTGTTCGGGTTGCCGTCGTTGCGCGCGGAGAAGTTGCGGTTGAACGAGGTGAGGATGCTGTTCTTCTCGCCCTTGGCGTCACTGCGCTTCCACTGGCCGATGCACGGGCCGCACGCGTTCGCCAACACCAAGCCTGGTGCGTCACGAATCATGATTTTGTTTGCTTAGAATGCAAGTCATTACGAACACACTACACGCAACGCAGCGCATTCATGAATGTTACGTTACGTTACCTCCAATGTCACGCAGCGCCTGCATCTGGCCGTCGCGCTCGATAGTGGCTCGGATCTGTTCCGACCCTGGACAATGTGTTGAGCGTTAGCCCAAAGCGCACACACGACACACGACACATGGCACATGGCACACGACACGCACCACCGCACACGCAACAAGGGGCGTACCGGGCGTGACGGTGAAGACGCTCTGCGCCTTGGTGCCCTTCTCGCTGGCCTGACGCGCGATGGCGGCGGCGCGGGACATGTCCTCGTAGGACGAGTTGGTACAGCTCCCGATCAAGCCCGCCTGTGACCCCAACCATACGCGAATCAGCCCTGTGTGTGTGTGTGTGTGTGTGTGTGGTGACCCTTGTGTGTGTGTGTGTGTGTCGCGTGTGCTTACGGAGATTTTCTCGGGCCATTGGTTCTTCTTGACGGCAGCGGCGAACTGGGACAGCGGGGTGGCCAGATCGGGCGTGAAGGGTCCGTTGATGTAGGGCTCGAGCTCGTCGAGGTTGATCTCGATCACCTCGTCGTAGTGGCAGCCCTCGTCGGCGCGCAGGTGGCCGCGGATCTCCTTGGCCGCCGTGATGGTGTCGGCAATGTCCTTGCGACCGGTCGCGGCCAGATAGGACAGCATCGACTCCGTCAGCGGGAAGACCGACGTCGTGGCGCCCACCTCCGCACCCATGTTACAGATCGTAGCCATTCCTACGACCGCGCGATGGCATCAGTAAAGCCGCACACGCACATGCACCACCGCACACACGTATCGCACGCGCACCACCGCACACGCACACGCCAAGTCGCTGTGGGGTGAGAATACCAGTGCAGGACAGGGTCTCGACGCCCGGACCGAAGTACTCGATGATGCTGCCGGTGCCGCCTCGGACGGTCAGCTTGCCGGCCAGCTTGAGGATGACGTCCTTGGGCGACGCCCAGCCTCGCAACTTGCCCGTGAGCTTCACGCCCAGCACGTTCGGCGCGCGCTGTTCGACACAAGACCCACAAAACAAACATGTTAATATATTTCTATATATTGGGAGTATAAATATAAAGAAATCAAGAAATAATAAAATAAAGTAAACACGAATGAATGCAAATAGCAAAGGGCAGGTGTACCAGTTCCCACGCCATGCCGGCCATGACATCGACAGCGTCGGCACCGCCCACACCGATCGCGATCGTTCTGGTGAGTGGTATAGACTAGTGTTAGCCGCATGCGGTCCACTGCTGCGCTTTGCAAGCGAAGCGACGTGACGCGAGTGTACCCGAGACCGCCAGCGTTCGGTGTGTGGCTGTCGGTACCGATCATCATCGCGCCGGGGAAAGCCTGCATTGTAGTAATTGATTCGTGAGCGCCATGGGCGTCGTGCGCGTGTGGTGGGTTGGCAGTGTGGTCAGAGGAGTCGCGAGATGGAGAAGGGCGTACATAGTTCTCGAGCACGATCTGGTGGATGATGCCGCTGCCGGGCTTCCAGAAGCCAATCCCGTACTTCTGGGACGCCGAGGAAAGGAATTCGAACACTTCCTACACGCGACCGACCATCAGTGACTATTCCTTAAGTGTTGTGCAACACTATATTTCAATTGCAACTGCGAGCCAATGAGGGAAGGGCCAGCATTCACCTTGTTCGTGACTTTGGCGGATTCGAGATCCTGAGCGGCGCCGGTCTCTGCCTCGATCAGGTGGTCGCAGTGGGTGGACGCCGGCACGGCCTGTCACAATGTGCCGTGGGTGTGTGGTGCGTGTGCGGTGAGGTGTGGTGTGGTGTGTGTGGTCGTCAGCCTTGAAAGTGTAAATGATGGCGCAGGTGGGTGAGGCCTTACCGTGGAGGTGAGTCCGGAGGAGATGAACTGGAGGAGGGCCATCTGCGCGGAGGCGTCCTGCATGGCCACACGATCCGGCTTGAGCTTGAGGTACGTCTTGCCTCGCTGGATGTCGGCGCTCGTTGCCGGGTCCTCCAAGTGCCCGTAGACGATTTTCTCTGATCATCACGCACACACCGCACACGCCGCACACACCGCACACGCCGCACACACCGCACACGCCACCAATACTGTGAGTGAACAATGATGCGTGAGTGGTGGAGGGTTGCTGCACAAGTACCGGCGAGAGTGAGCGGACGCTGCAGGAGCTTCTTGACGGTGAAGAGGTTCTGGTCGATGCGCTGGTAGGGCAGCTGGGTGTCCGGCTCCCAGCGGCTCATCGCAGCGGGCCTCTGCAGCACTCCGCGCGAAGTGCCAAAGAGTCTGCTCGCTCCCTGTGGTGGTGGTGGAGAGGATAAGTCCGCTTTGGGCGCGTTTGCACACTCTCGGGAGTGGAAGATGTTCTAGCGACGTAGAGGGGAGATATGATGGGAAGGACATACCGTCATGGTCGGAAGCCTGGCTGGCCCGAAGAACGTCGTGCAGGCGCGATTGGCTCTCATTCCTGTCCATTAATGAACACAGGAATGATGAAGCGTGTGAATCGATTTTTGCAGATTTAAAAATCACTGCCCATGGCAGTGTCGAATGTATGGCCAAACACTCAATCTCGCCAGCCGATGCACAGTAAAACGTACCCGCAGATTCAAGTACGATGCAGCCGACAAGTTCGAATTCTTTTCTCTCCACCGACAAGGGCAGCAACGCCAACACTGTCTTCCCGCCGGAACGCCGGAGTTAGCTAAATGAAGCACGCAAGAAAAGAAAGCCGTCTGCGTGCGGTGCGGTGCGTGCCGTGCGTGCAGTGCGGTGCGTGCCGTGTGTGCGGTGCGGTGCGGTGTCTTAGCCGTGAGCGTGTGCGGTGAGTACGCCTGTAAGTGTGGAGTCATCAAACATTGTTGTAATAGATAAATACGCGCGTCAGCGCGACATGCGCTGCCAGGCCCACCAGCAGTAGCGGTAAACGGATAGGCGCCTGAGTTGCCTGCCCGACTCTAAAGCTAGTCGTACACTTGAGTTGAGGGAAGACAAAGCTTCGTTCTTCTTCGTCACCTGTTCTTCTTCTAGAGTTGGATACTCTTGACCCTGATCTGGGCCAAGATGGCTTGCTTCTCGTGCTCATGACTGACGTCACACAAAAGATCAAGGTCAAGACGGTGAGTGGGAGTGTAAATGTGAGCGAGTAAATGTGTGCGCACAAGTACCTTTCCACGATCAAGGAGATCTCCTTGGCGACAAGGGCGTCGATGATGGCGTCCCTCTTCTTCAAGTACTTCTCCACCACCTGCTCGATCTCTGCCTTCCGCTCTTCGTCGATCCTCTTGAGTTCGCTCTTCTGTCGGCCGGTAATCAACAGAGAGTGAGCACACGGCGCACACAGTGGCACACACTACACACGATGCGACACACATGACGCGACACGCGCACGACAGAACAGAAACAAAGGGGAGGGCCACGCGTACGGCTCTTTCTCTTTCGCTGGTGCGGCCCTTCCCGTCCGATTTGGCGCCACCCTCCGGGGACCGCTTGTCCTTGCTGCCGGTTCGGTGACGGGGCTTCCTGTCCTTGTCCTCCTTCTTCTCCCTCTCCCTGTCTCCTCTGTCCCGCTCCTTGCTCTCGCCCTCCTTTTCCTTCTCGCGCGAGTGACGCGACGAACCCTTCTTGGCCGACGACGATGTGGTGGGCGGTGGCTGGCTGCGGCTCATCCTCGCAGAGGCCTCAGCGCGCTGCGAGTGGATGAAAAGGGGCTCAGGTAAGATACACCACACTGACACACTACAACGCCAGCTGGCTCCAGACGTTTCCAAACCGAGCAGAGGCGTACCGGTGAGAGCGGCTCCAATTCCTGGCTGACCGATTGCAGGCGCGAAGGCTCCTGGGCAGCTAGAGGAAGCGGGGGGGGGGAAACAAAGAACGTGAGGGGCAGGTAAAGGGCCTGGGCGTGGGAAGGATTGGTGAGCATACGCTTTTCCTCTCGCTTCTTCTTTTTCTTTGTTAGCGTGCCCACCTTTTGCACTTGCTTCCTCTGCAACCATTACGTGGTGTGAGTTGAAGTTGATTCTCATCAAAACAACACAGGACAGCACGAAGAAAGAGAGCGAGAGAGAAAGAGAGGAGCTTGCCGCACCCTCCTCTGGTTGTTGCCGATCAGCTGGGTAACCGCATCCACCTGGAAGAGAGAGAGAGAGAGAAACGTGATTGAGGAAGACGGCTTCGATGAAGGAGAGTACGTGAAGCATCGTCACGTGGAGAAGGAGGACCGTACCCAGCCCTGCGCTTCCTTCTCGCTCAACTGTAGCTTCTCGGGCTGTGGCGCGAAGATGTAGGTGCGCGTGGGCACATCGACTGCGCATAGGAGAGGGAGTGGTGAGCACAAAAAGGTGAGGCACGCAAGCAAAAGGGGCAACTCACCCTTGAATCCAAAGATGCCCTTCTTTTTGTTGATGGCCATGAGCTCAACTGTGGCGATCATCGTAGCGGGCACGCTTCCCTTCAAGCTGAACTTGTTCTCCTTGCCCTGGCGGACAGAGAACGATTGAGGCGGAGGGCGCATCGAGAGAATCGCAAGATGAACACAAAACGACATGTAATAATGGATGTAATAAAGCTGGCAAGGTTACCTTGGGGCTGAAGTAAGACAGGCCTGTGGGGGTAAGCACAAGCCAGCGCTTCTTCCACGTCTTCCACGGAGGAGGTCCTTGCTTTAGCACCCAGCCTTCTTTCTGCACATGTGCATGAAGATTATTAATAAAATGAACTAAGGAATTAACGTTAACATTGAACGTGACGCGGCCGCCGCACCTTGACCATCTTGTCATCGCTTTTAGAGTTGTCCTCAACGCTCTCGCCGCCTTCCATGATGAAGGACTTGCCTTCGTGGTTGGTAACGACGTAGAAGAAATTACCGTCGTCAACTGAAGATGTGCCCTTTTCTCTGTCGTGCTTTTCTCTTTCCTTGTTGTTGTCCCGATCGCGTTCAGCTCTGGACGACGATTCTCCTCGTTCGCGCTCCTTCTCCCTATCCTTGTGGTCCCGTTCGCGATCTTTATCTCGATCTCTTTCTCGGTCTCGATGATCTCGCTCCCGGTCTCGCTCTCTGTCCCGGTGGTCGCGCTCTCTGTCCTTCTCCCTCTCCTTGTGATCTTTATCTTTATCTTTATCTTTGTGTCGTTCTCGATCGCTCCTGTGGCTGTGCTCGATTCGTGTGCCCCCCTCCTTGTCGCGCCCCTCTCGCTCCCTTCGTCTACTCCGTTGTTCCTTGGGTGCTCTGCACGTCTGCCGACGACGCAGACAGTGAACTGGAGGAAGAGGAGGTCGTTGGTGTCCGAATCATTGGCTGCGAATTCAGAAGCGGGTTCATCTTCTAAGATGTAGCAAGCTTCGCTTCGCCCTACTTGAGGTATGGCCGGAGGGCAGAGAACCAACCACAGGAACAGACCCTCCGAGCTCAGAGGAGATGATGGAGCGCCTACCTCCTTCAACTTGATGCTCCGACAGGTCTTCGTTGAAGGCTGCTGGTAGTGCCCTTATGTATCACGCAGAGGGTTGCAGGCAAGCCCCTCATAAGGAAATCAGGTGGCTAGAACTCAACTTGTTTGAAATTTTTATGAAAGATTCAACAAAAACAATTCCAAAGTCAAAATATTGGCGGAAATGTTTGGCGCCATTTCGCCGCGTGGCCGTTGCGACGCAATGTGCCTTGATCGTAGGCAGAGATTTTGAAGTGGTGCTCGTGCATGGAAGCAAGGACGTGAAACATCCAATTGCAGTTGATTGGAAATCGAAAGAGTGAGGGGCAATGGCGACTTCAGAAGCAGATGCACCACAAATTAAACCGATTGATCGTGCATCGGTTCATCGCATATGCTCCGGGCAGGTGGTCATCGACCTCGCCGGTGCCGTGAAGGAGCTTGTAGAGAACAGCGTCGATGCCGGCGCCACCAACATCGGTGTGACATACTCCCTCCCAAGCGCCGTGGGACAACCGCAGCAGTTCAGTTTCACTCATCTTGCGCCATCTCCAAACTTTCAGAGATTCGCCTGCGTAACAGCGGCGAGTCGTCCGTGGAGGTGAGCGACAACGGTCACGGCGTCGATCCTACCAACTACCCCTTCATAGGTACCCGGCCGTGCGCGTGCGTGGTGCGTGGTGCGTTGGTGCATGCTCACCTCATCATCGTCCTTGAAACCACAGCCAAGAAGCACTGCACGTCCAAGCTGCGGGCCTTTGACGACCTGCAGTGGGTCAGCACGTTCGGCTTCCGCGGCGAAGCCCTCAGCTCGCTGTGCGCCCTCTCCAAACTTACCCTGTGCACGCGCACAGCTCAGCAAGTACGGCTCTGTGTCAAGCTTGCCACTTCCCTTCCCACATGCACACTCTCTTCTTGGTGCGCTGACAGACTCGATGTTGTGTGTCTCTTCTTTGTGCGTTCGTGCCTGCGTGCCCGATCAAGACCGTGGGGATGCTGCTCACCTACGACCACAACGGCGAGCTGGTCAGCCAGGTCCCCAAAGCGCGCGCCGTGGGGACGACGATCCACCTGCAGGACCTATTCGCTTCGCTTCCTGTGAGGTAGCCCGCCCGCGACTGAGCCCACTCGTCGCCCTCACTTCCCTACTCACATTCAAAAACAAAAAACCAACTTTCTACTTTCTTCACCCACGTACGCAATCAGGCAGCGGGAGTTCAAGCGCAACATCAAGCGTGAGTTCGCTCGGCTCGTGAGCGTGCTGCAGGCGTACTCCATAATCACCACCAATGTGCGCATCACCTGCCAGAACCAGAAGGACAAAGGGTACCCCCGTTACATAATCCGTAGTGGTCCACCACTCACCCATTCACCACTCGCACATGTGTGACGGCTACCACCGAGGCAGGCCGTCGACGCGCGTGTTGGGCACCAGCGGAAGCGGTCTGAAGGACAACATCGTGAACGTGTTCGGACCCAAGCTGGTGGCGCACATCATGCCGATCGATCTGCCCGGCATCACCTACACCACACGCAAGCGAGTCGAAAAGAGTTTCGGGTGCGTACAGCTGCGCATCTATATAGTCTCCCGCCCCCTTCCGCCATCACTTGTGGCTGACTCCACACACACGACCCGCTCCCCCTCCCTCCCCCAGCGTGAGCGGATTCGTGTCGCGGCCCGCCAGGGGGACTGGCCGCAATACCGGCGACAGGCAATTCCTCTACATCAACAGCCGCCCGGTGGACCACTCCAAGATCGTCAAGGTATGATAACTGTCGCCTCTGTGCGTCTGCGCGTCTGCGTGCGTGAGTGCGATGGTGTTCGTGCTCTGCGTCCCTGCGTTCGTGTCATATCGTGTCGTAGGCTCGTGTGCTGATGATGGTATCTCCTCTGACGTGGTGGCTGCAGGTGATCAACGACGTCTATCGGCAAGCCAACCCCGGCCAATCCGCCATCTTCTTCCTGAACTTCGCCCTGGAGACCGACTCGTACGACGTCAACGTGACGCCGGACAAGCGGACCATCATGCTCCACGACGAATCCGACATCGTCCAAGCCCTCAAGGTACTTATCATCAGCCACCGCCTCCAGCCTCTCTCTCTCTCTCTCTCTCACACACTCACACACCACACAGGCGGCCCTGGAAAAGTTCTACGGCATCTCTGAGTCACACGCCTACGGGCTAAACGACTCGCTGTCGCTTCAATTCGTGGACGACGACGAAGATCACGCAGGCGGCAGAGGCGATGACGCCGGCGATAGGCCGCCGGCGCTCTCACAGGGCAAGGGTCCTACGAGGGCCGCGAGTAAGAGCGTACCGCCGCCGAGCCCGAGTCGAATCGCGGTGGCTGGAGGTGGCGTGCGGGTCAACTCGCAGCGGACGAGCTCGCGCCAATCGTCTCCCGTACCCGCCGGCGGCCTCATGTCCCCGGCGGGCCGCGGCGGCCAACCGCCGGCGCCCGTACCCCTGCACTCTACGAGCGAGCCGGCGCCGGAGGAGCTAGACGATGTCGTCGATGACATCAATGCAACACAAGAAGACGGGGGAGACGAAGACGTCGAGGCGGCGGAAGTAAGCGGCGGTAGCGACACGAGCGCGAAGCCGGCGCTCTCGCTCAGCGCGTTCGCCTTCTCCTCGCCGATCAAGGCCGTAGCCCCCAAGTACGCCGTAGCCATTTTGCTCCTTTTTTGTTTCGTTGATTGGTAGTCCATTTTAGCTCATGTCACCACACACACACCACACACACCACACACACACACACACACACACACAACACACACCACACACACCACACACGACACCGAACAGGACCTCCCGGGCGAGCGTGTTGGACCGGTTCAGGAACCTCCAACGCTCGTCGTCCGCGCCCTTGTCGGGAGCAGCCTCGCCGTCAACGTCAACGACCACCGCGACCACTGCGGTCCCGCCGCCTTCGCCGTCCTCGCTGTCGCGAACGTCTGGCATCTCCACGACCACGGCCTCGACCTCGACCACGACCACGGCCAGCACCACTAAGATCGGGTTGACGACGAAGATCGACAGCGCCGCGGACATCTTCACCCGCTTCGCGCTGGGCAGTCCCACGATCAGCCCCGCCTCGCTGTCACGGTAGTAGCCCCCCCCCTCTCTTCCTCCAACCCAGCCTCGTTTGCCTAAGCTAAGCTAAAGGAACGGTGCGCAGTGCGCCGTTGAAGCGAAAGCGATCGGACGACGACGAGGCGGTGGCACCGCTCTTCGATCATGTCAAGACCGAGAAGGCGGATGATTGTCACAAGGAGGAGATTGGCGATGATGGCGAAGAAGCCAAGCTGTCCAGTGCCGGCTTCTTGAAGCAGGTCAAGGAGGAGATCAAAGGCGAAGAACGCGACGAGGAAGAAAGCGTAGTCGACCGCGATAAGCAGCGACCGTCGAAGAAGAAGTTCAAGCGAAGCGGCGCGGATGACGACGCGGCCCAATCTATTATTTATGTCACCGACGCCGAACTTGAGCTCGGCGGTCATCAGAAGGACCAGGAGGCGACAACCGCCACCGGAGCCGGACACGGTAACTCAGCCCCCCTCCCCCTCTCGCATTCGTTCTTTGGCCGCCCTTGCCTCGGCTCACGTCCTCCTGTCATTTTCGTTCTTTCTCTTCCCCCCGCCCAATCACAGCGACGACGATCGATTTTGATGTGCAGGCGTGGAAGGCGAGGAACAAGCGCGACCAAGAGCGAAGGGCCAAAAAACGCGAAAGAGACGCCAACGACGGCAAGACGGGCGCCGGCCGCGTCAAGGAGGAAACAGGCGAGGAGGCCGCCGCAAAGAAGAACTCGGCGACGGCAGCAAAGCAGAGGATCAAGTTTTCGCTGGGCGATCTCCCGCTTGGGCGCTCGAACGAGGGCGTCAACGATGACGAGGGCCACAACGACGACGAGGGACGCAGCGATGAACACGACGAGGAGCACCGGTGCGAACACGCCCCGCCGACGACTGGCGACGCTGCCGCCGAGGAGGAACTGCGGCGGGTCTTCAAGAAATCGTTCTTTGACGATCTCCAGGTTAGTGTGCATGTGCGGTGGTGCGTGCGTGCGTGCGTGCGTGCGTGTGGTGTACGTGCGGTGAGCAGTCTTGACGGTTTTGGTGTTGCGCGGCCAGATCATCGGGCAATTCAATTTGGGGTTCATCATCGCCAAGCTGGACCAGGACGTGTTCATCATCGATCAGCACGCCTCCGACGAGAAGTACAACTACGAAACACTCCAACAGACCACCGTCATCAACACCCAGCCACTCCTCAGGTTGCCCTCCGTCTCTTCGTGCGTGTCGTGTCGTGCGTGTCATGTCGTGCGTGTCATGTGTGTCGTGCGAGCTAAGCTTGTGTGCGACGGCACGCGATCGGAGGGTAGTCCGCTGAGCATGGAGCTCACGGCGGTGGAGGAGAGCATCGTGATGGACAACCGGGAGATGTTCCGCAAGAACGGCTTCCACTTTGTCATCGACGAACAGGCGCCGCCGCGCCAGCAGGTCAAACTGGCCTCGGTGCCGTTTTCCAAGAACAAACAGTTTGGCGTCGAAGGTGAGCGTGTGAGCGTGTATGTGCGTGTGTGCGTATGCGTGTGTTGTGCACTGTGCTCTGCGCGTTGCGCTCATCATTGTGCGCGTGCCGCAGATGTGCACGAACTGATCTGTCAGTTGGAGGAACACCCGGGCATGATGTGCCGCCTGTCGCGCGTGTCGGCCATGTTCGCCTCGCGCGCTTGTCGCTCCGCCATCATGATCGGTACCCGCCTACGGTGCCCCCCCTCCGCGGGTGTGTCGTGTGTTGCTGACGTGTCGTGTGTGCGCAGGTACGGCGTTGAGCAAGAAGGAGATGAAGCGGGTGCTGCACAACATGACCCTCCTCGAGAATCCCTGGAGTTGTCCGCACGGCCGTCCCACCATGCGACACCTCTTCGACCTCTCCACCATCGCCTCCCTCACCACCGCCGCCGGTGATGCCCATCGTCAGCGCTCCCCTTCCTCCACACTCCAGCGGTGGCAGGCCGCGTGGCGGAGCTCACCCGAATGGCACGCCCACGCCGCAAAACCGGTGGACTAACATGAACATACATTTGGGAGAATATGAACACACGTGTGCGCACACGCACACGCACACACACGCACACGCACACGACACGCACACGCACACGCACACGCACACGCACACGCACTTAGATGCATTGGGTGCCGCCGGGCGTGCACTTGTAGCGGCCGTCGTTGGAGTACTGCTTGGAGCAGCACCCGTCGGCGCACTGGTCCGACGCCGAGCAGAACTGCCAGTCGCCCTTCTTGCCGCCACCGCCGCCGCCTCCACTCCAGTTGAACGGGCTGTTGGCGTTGCGCGCGGCGGCGGCCTTGGCCTGGTGGACCGACCAGGCGGCCGAGCCCACGTAGTACTCGTAGTCGCCGCCGCTGCACTTGACAAACTCCCAGGGCCAGAAGGGCACGCCCAGGCGGTTGGCCGCGTCGGCCTGGCTGCCGATGACCGACGCCTGCTGGGCGCCCGTCGCGCCGAACTCCTCGTAGATGATCCGCTTCTTGTAGCTCAGGGCCTTGGCCACGCCGGCGCTCAGCTGGTACTCGACCTCGCTCTGCGACTGGTCGTAGTTGTGGACACCGATCACGTCGATCTCGGCGCACGCAAAGTTGCCGTCCTGGTAGCTGTCCGCCCAGTCCGCGCCACCTCCTACATCACATAATATTTTAGATTCTCAATATCAATTTTACTCAAAATAAATAAATATAAATAAATAGAGTAATGGCAATGATGAATAAAAATGGTACCGGTGGTGACGTAGATGGTCTGGTTGATGAGGGGGCGGATGAGCTTGGCCCGGCCGCAGTGCCAGGTCCAAGGGGCGTGGAAGTCGGGCATGTGGCCCCGGGCCTCGTTCTGGATGGCGAAGGCCCACACGACCTCGCCCAGATCGCGCCACGGCCGGGAATTGAAGTAGGGATTCTTGTGGTCCAGAATGTGCTGGAGCCTTCGATCGAAGTCCGCCTGCGCATTCGGATTGGTGTAGAACTCCTCGGCCGACCCATACTTGTAGAAATAACCGTCCTATGTAACCAACCAGAAAACAGTGACCAAATAAAAAGAACCAACCAGAAAATTGGTGTTCATTCCATACAGACCAATCAGCTCACTAAAGTGGCGCAGTGTACCTTTTGCCACACGCCGAGGGAGTAGCGGTCATGGAAGACGAGGTTGAGCTTGACGCCGTAGTCGCGGGCCTCCTTCATGAGGAGGTCGATCCGGTCGAGGATGGTGTCCTGGTAGTTGCCCACCTGCCACTCCTCGAGGTCGGGCGTGCCCTGGGCCGACGAGCCCTTGTTCCCGGCGTCCACGTGCACCACAAAGACTCGCACCACATTGACGCCCGCCGCCGACAACGCGCTCAAGTGGGCCTTCCTATCTTTATTGATAATAATTGTATTTTTAATAATGGACACAAATAATAAAGAATTCGTGATTATTCGTTTATATGCAAATGAATGATAAAAAAAAGTAGTTACGGAGGGGACGACACCAGAGTCGGAGAGGGACCACAGAAAGTACGAGTTGGCGCCGGAGAAGCTGTTGGAGGCCTCGACGCCGACGGTCGGCTGGCTCAGGACCAGGGTCAAGACCAGTAAGAGCGCCGACGCGCCAGCGACGGCGAGAGAAGAGCTCACGCGCATAGCTTGTTGTGTGGTTCTGGTTTTACTTGTTTGGCCCAGTGCAGCTCATCGGCGCACCAATTCATACAGTCCACCAATCACCAAGCCATGCGAAGTGTTACGTCCGCCAACCACACAGCCGCCAACCAGTGGGGCGCCACCTTAACTTTATTGTGACGCACCCACGGCCACGGGAAGGAGGACCAGGTGTTGGTAGGCGTCGGCGAACTCGTTCCAGAACTTGAGGTCCCGTTCGTTCACCTCCTCGACGCCGTGGTATCGCTTCCAGCATACGGCAAAGTGCGTCGGCGGCACGCCTGGTGGCCACCACGCCACCAGACACAACGACAGTCACGACGTTGTCAGTGGCATCATTGCGTGTGCGAGGAACAAAGAGATGCTTTATACCCTTGAATTCGACTGCCGTGACGGTGGGCTGCTGATCGCCGGACGAGAGGCCGAGGAGCTCCTTGACGAACATGCGGCGGGTCAGGTGCTTGAAGCCCTCGGCAGGGTTCGGCAGACCGCCCAGCCGGAAGCCTTCCGGTCGTGGAGTGGGTTGATGAGCGTTCAAGCCCCATGTGGGCCACTGCTGCGAGACAAGGGGGACAGAAACCAATGTGACGTACATTGAATGCGAAGGATGTTGGGGAGGCCCTTGAGCAGAGGGTCCTCCTGGCCCTCGCGCTGCTTCTCGACCTGCGAATTGATCGCGGCGGTGACAACCGCCTCGACCCGACGCAGCTGATCGAGATCGTCCGCCTCCACCAGCAACTCGTCATTGTTGTTGTAGCAGCGCAGGCCTTGCTCCGCTTCATTCTTTGCTTCGTTTACTTCGTTTTCGCTTTCGCTTTCGTTTCGGAGGCCACTGAGAGCGCCTTGCTCGTCGAGGTACCGGTGGAGGCGGCAGATGCGCCAATGGTTGACTGCGTTGACCTTGACCGGGCACGTGTCGTGGAAGACCACCGAGCGGAGCTCCTTGACGGCCAGCAGATAGGGGCTGGTGACGTGGAAGTGGTCCTTGAGCAGGTCCTCCCACGTCTCGTAGCCCTGAGTGTCCCACCAGATCTTGCGTTGGTGACAGCCATGCATAATATTCATGTGCGCGCGTGCGGTCGTGCGTGGTGCGTTGGTGCGTGTGCGTGTGCGGTCGTGTGTGTACGTGAACGATCGAAGGGTCATAGAAGCGGAGGGCGTTGAAGTTGGCGCTTCGGATGTCGAGTGAGAGGTAGTACTTGCCCACATTTGACGGCTCGTAGATCGAAGCGGGCAATTTCTGCGCACGCACCACCGCACACACACACGCACACACAGTCGCGCCTGGTTGGTTTCTCATTCAATCGAGGGCACGACAGAGATGGGCCAAATGACACACCTCCTGCTCGGCGGGCGCGAGGAAGGAGTCATCTCGGGCGAACTTGGCGAAGGCCTCCGACGACGAGAGCGCCTGCACGATCTTCTCCTTGGTGTTGAAGTAGAACTTGTGGAACGCAGCCTCGCCGCCTTGGTTCTTGATCTCCTCGAGCATGACATTCAGCTTCGCGTGCGCTTGCATCTCTCGATCGTACAGATCCATGAAGTACCGAAAGTCTTCGGGGTCGAAACACTGCGCGTAAGAGTGGAGGTGACGTGGCGTCAACCAACCAATGAGTGGGGATTTATATATGGGGAGGAGGAGGCGCGACAAGAGCACCTTGATGGGAATATCAAAGTCCTTTACGAAGCGGCGCTTCATTGAGATGCTCAGGGTCTCGAGCGTTCGCTCCTTCACGTCGGGCTGCTTACTCACCTGCATGCATTCGCCTTCAACTACTGAACCCACATGACGCACTCGCGCGCACGACCGCATGCATACACGCACACACAAACACACACACACGCACACACGCACACACATACGCACACACGCACAGGTGGGAGGAGAGTGTACTTGGATGTGGCGCTCTTTGCCAAGGCCGAAGCTCTCGTGGGAGAGGTTGTACTCTTCGGCCAGGCGATGGACCACCTTGCGCTCGTGGGAGGGCAGGGACGCCGGAAAGGCCAGCGGCTCAGTCCGGCTCTCGTCCACTGCAAACGCCGCGATCTGGGCCTCGATCTCCTTCAACCGCTCCTCGGGCACCACCCTACGAAGGAGTGCCACCACACCATTTCAATTTATATTTTTATTTATTGAGCAATGATATATCATTTTTTTTTTATTCATTAAAAACCACAGGTTGGGGAGGGGCGAACCGAAGGGCGGCTTTGGTTTGCTGCCACGGGCGGCCATTGGGATTCTGCTGCATGTGCTGCTGCTTGGAGGCTTTCTTCTGGTCGGTGGTGGCTGGTCGCCGAGTTTTATCTGCCTGCTTTGCGCCCTTCTCCATCACTCGTAGTGGCCGCGCTCTTGACTCCTTTGCTGCAGTCCTCGCCTTCCAACCCCAAGTGCCAACGCGCCCCTGTTCACGAATTCAGTTCTTTTTATTTTCTTAAGATTTGTTTTATTTTTTGCCCTTTATTTGTTCGCGCTGGTGCTACTACTGCGGCGGGAGGGCGGTGTCGTGGACTTCGAAGCGCGTGCGAGGGCTCTTGTAGGCGCGCGACGCGCGAGGATCTTCGGCCACATACTTGGGTCGCTTCACCACCACTCGCTTCCTCGCCACCTGCGCACTTGCCTTCAGTGACACACACACACACACACACACAAACACACGCTGAGAGAAAGGAGAGAGCACCTGTTGGGCGATTTCGAGCAGGCGGTTGGCGTCGGCGTCGTCGCCGACAAGCGCGCGGGCCAGCTGCATGCCGATCTTGGTCAACGCCTTTTGCCTTCGCTTGGGATGCGGGTACATGGGGTCGATATACTGCGCGAGTGCGTGTTGTGTGCGGTGTGTACGGTGTGTGCGGTGTGCGGTGAGGTCTGATCAGAACTACTCTGCAGGGCCAGCTTAGAAAAAGACGAAAGAAGACAGCCAAGGGGCGATGTACGATGACGTCTGGCCGTTCTGCCACGGGCAGTGAAAGCAGGTACTGCGTCGAGTCGGCGTGCACCAGTTGCAGGTTGGCCTCCCATTCCCTCCCCTTGTCCGCCTGCAGTTGGTGTGTATGAGAGAGAGAGAGATCAGCGACACGCCGTGGCGCCTGTGGACAATGCCAAGCAAAGACGAGTCGTACGTCGCGCAATCGCTGCAGACCATCTCGCAACAGAGCGTGCACGACGGGATTCCGCTCGACGAGCGTAACGCGGCACCCGAGCGAAGCCAACACGAACGCGTCCTTGCCCAGGCCTGTGTTGGCCAGAGCAAAGAGAAGGGGCGAGAAGCGACTGAGTGCCAGATCCAGCAGCGCGCTCCGAGCCCACTACAAGACACGCGGGCGCCCATGGTGGATCGGGGGAGTCGCGGGCGCACCTCCGGTGGCGTCCAGCACGGACAAGTTGGGCTCCTTGCCCACACCCACAGCGCGGGCCATGGGCGAGCGTTGGTCGTTACCGAACTTGGTGCGGTGGGCCAGCGCGCCTCGCACAAAATCAACGTACACGGGCGCCATCCTGCCAAACACACACACACACACACACCCCACAATGATGATGATGGTCAGCCACATGTTAAACTCGACACAGTGCAACTCAGAATGACTCGAGGGCGGGTACCGCTTGGCGGGCGCAGCGTGCTTGCGTTGGGTGACCTGCACGCGATGGGGCGCCACCTCCACCAGAAACTCGAACTGGCGCGAGAGCTGCGCCGACGGCGGCTCGGCGAAGAACGGGAGGCCGAGGTCGCGCGCCAGCCGCTCGGCTCTGGCCCGGATGTCCTGCTTCACCCTCTCCAGAGCCTCAGCCTCTAGAGAAGAAGAAGGTGCTTCGCTCTGTGTATGTATCTCGGTCTCTTTCTGCTTTTGTTGGTGGGCTCCTTCCTCTTCTGACTCTTCTTCGTTCACGTCATCGTCATCCTCCTCAACATCATCTTCGGTATCGAATTCTTCATCTTCATCTTCATCTTCAAGCACAGTGGGTTGCTGTCCTACTGCAGTCGTTCGCTTCAATCGAGGGAAGGCGCAGCAGACGCCGATGCTCTTGGAGGGAGGTAGAGGAGCATTGAGCTCGTAGGCGACAGAGCGCCGCGGCACCAGAGGAGCCAATCTGCAACTCTTCTGTATCCATTCCGTCCTAGCAGGTGAGGATCGGCTTGGATTCCATCGATTGGCGCTTGCAATCGTTCGCACCGCTGACGAGCGCCAGATGAGCGCCCCTGGGGCTACGCATAATCTTGAAGAAACTGCGAGATTTTGACCTCCTCGGCTCAGCAGCGGAAAGATCCTCGCGTGATGTGTTGTCACGCCTTCCAATCCCTTCACCCTCACCGCCAATCGCTCCATTGTGCTACCAATCTTGATTTCCACAAATTTGTGGTGTTGATTTTTCATGTTTTCTTTTTCCTTTCAGCTCCCAAAGTAACGGTCCTTTTGGCCAACAGCAAAATCATCGAAGCAGAAGAGGAGAGATCAGGAGGAGCTCCGTAACGCAAGTGCTTTTTTATCAACCCACTCGGTACGCGCGGCCTTCTTGAGCTGGAGTGGAATCGTTTGACGACAATTTTCCAAATCAAATTTTGATCTGATTTTGGTTCTGGGCAGAGATGTCCTCGTACGAGGCCGAGAAAGAACCCAGCGGCTCGCACAAGAGGAAGAGAGATGATGGAGAGGGGAGCGAGGGAAATGGAATGGAGGGATTTGTGGACCTTGGTGGCGAGGCAGTCGAGCAGGGATTCAGCAAAGAGGACGATCTCCTGCTAGAAGATTTGATCAACAGCGCCGATGGACTGGCATCAGGCGACCCAGATGACATCGACACTGACTTTGGCGTCGTATTTGCCGATGGCGCCGATACGAGCGGCGGATCCGGAGCTGACGGCTACCACGACGAAGCTGGCCAGCAGCTTGATGAGGATGCGACGTCACGGATCGATCTGATGGCGCGAGAGATCTTGGAGGACTCGAGCCAGTCACAGGGCACCGGGTACGGCCCCGGCCGCAAGAAGCCGCGCCGCCAGTACGCGCCGCCCGGGGGAACCGAAGCGGTCAAGGAGAGCGACGACAGCGGCGGTAGCAGCGACGACGAAGAAGACGACGATGAAGCAGAGGTGGAGGTGCTCGAGGAAGACGACGATGGTGACGGTGATGAAGGCGCCGATGGCGACAACAGGATCGGAGGCAAGGGGGTACACAGCCGACCGAAGCGCGGCAGCGTCGACGACGACGACGACGATGGCGATGAAGACGATGAAGACGACGAGGGCCAGGGCGATGATGGGAAGGAGTTCAGAGCGCTCGGCTCGAAGGGACTGTTTACGGTGCGGGACGGGGCGGGAGTGGGCCGGACCGCGGCCGCCAAGGCAGACGATGACAGCGACAGCAACGACGAAGGCGAGGAACAGGAGGAAGAGGGCGGCGACAAAGAAGAGAAAGACGATGACGACGATGACGATGATGGTGATAACGATGATGAAGAGGAGGGCATAGAACACACGCTCACGCGAGCAGGCATGGACCAGTATCTGGACCTGGACGCCAAGATCAGTCTGCTGACTCGTGCCGTGCGCCGGTTCGACGCGCGGAGCCAAGTGTCGACGCTCCTCACGTCGGCCCTCCTCCAGCTGGCCAACACACGGCCCGACTTCGCGGCCGAAGTCGAGAAGGAGATCGAGCACGCCAAGGTTGGTGTTGCTTGCGTTGCGTGTGTTGCGTGTGTGCGGTGCGAAATGATGATCGTCGCTCACACGGTGATGTGTATGGGCTGCAGGAGGAGGACTATGACAGCGACGACGAAACGGAGGAAAAGGTGGAGGTCGATGAATCGGAGACCCTGGAGGGCTGGCTGGACGGCGCCGAAGGACGCGACGTGGATTCACTCCGCGCCTCTTTCCTCGATGAGTTACTCGAAGTGCCGTTCAAGGTATATTCCACCTTCTTCTCTCTTCACAACAAACCACACACACCGCACACGCACGACCGCACACGCACGACCGCACACGCATGACCGCACACGCACGACCGCACACGCATGACCGCACACGCATGACCGCACACGCATGACCGCACACGCATGACCGCACACGCATGACCGCACACGCATCGATTGCACGATCGGCTAACGCTGCCGGCGTGTGCCGACGTCTGCAGGCGAAGCTGAACGGGGAGCGGTGTACGGTGGTGCAAGCGGTGGAGGGGGACTCCCTGCTCGTGCGGCAGAACGGCGAGTCGTTCATCGCGTCGGCCAAGGCCCTGACCGGCGCCAAGGGACGCAACGGCGCCTTCCTCGCCGACTGGAAGCAGAACGGCTATTAGAGGAGGCTCTTAAGGAAGAGATGATGATGATGAACAGCAGCAACAAGAAGAGAGAATGATTTGTGATTGTACTGAATTGAATTGTAGAGACAAGTACTGCCAACAATAATAATAACCAATTTATTAATTTTTTTGTTATTGTCCGAGTATTAGTTTCGGCAAGCGAACCATCGACACCAACCAATCTTCATCATGTCTGGCAAGGTAAGCCACGTCGCCGTTCGGTCCACTCTTGTCGAAGTCGACGTGCAATTTCAATTAATCAGAACGACTGACCACATCGAACCAATCTTCATTTCTTCACAAATCACAGAAGTACGGAGTGATTGGTGGCGGTGGATTCCTCGGCAAGTGGATCGTCGACGAGCTGCTCAACCGCGGCGAGAAGCACGTGCGAGTTCTCGACATCCGCCCCTCCCCCACCCCCGACGACCGCGTCGAGTTCGTTCAGGGTTCGTCCCTCCCTTTTCCTTTACCCTTCGCTTTCGTTCTCTTTCTCTTTCTCTCTTTTTTTCTCGGCTAACCGTGTGCGGCGTGTGTGTGTGTGTGTGCGGCGGCGTGTGTGGCGGAGAGCAGTCGATGTGACCAAGATCGATACGCTGAGGAAGGGTCTGGCCGGTCTCACCACGGTCATCCACACGGCCTCTCCGCCGCACGGAAAGGGCTACCAGATGTACTACAACGGTGCGCCGTCTGCATACGTGTGCGCGGCGTGTGCCGTGCCGTGCGTGTGCGAGCGAGCGAGCGAGTGTTCACCATTGGGTTGTGTCCACTTTCGTGCAGTTAACGTCGAGGGCACCAAGAACGTGGTGGAGGCCTGCGTCGAGTTGGGCATCAAGCAGCTCGTCTTCACCTCCTCCGCCTCCGTCGTGTTCGACGGACGTCACATCAAGGGTGCTGAATTCCCCTGCCACACGTCGACCGCACACCGCACACCGCACACACCAACCGCATACACCGCACACACTGCACAGTTACTGATGGCACCGCAACGCAATGTGTGCGCAGGCGGCGATGAGAGCCTGCCCTACTGCAAGACCCATCTGGACGGCTACACAGAGACGAAGGAGAAGGCCGAGCGCATCGTGCTGGAGGCCAACGGCAGGAAGGGCCTGCTCACCGTCGCCCTCCGCCCTTCGGGCATCTTCGGCCCCGGCGACGCCCAGGGCTGGCCCGGCTTCATTGAAGCCGCCCAGAACGGCAAGTCCAAGTTCCAACTGGTGCGCCCCACCGCACACGCCCCATCGCACACACCGCACACACCGCACGCCCTCACACACTCGCACAGGGTGATGGAAGCAACCTGATGGACTGGACCTACGTGGAGAATGTGGCCTACGCGCACGTGCTGGCGGCCGACAAGCTGGTGCCGGGCAATGACAAGGTGGCGGGCCAGGCCTTCTTCATCACCAACGACGAGCCGGCGCCGTTCTGGGACATGGCCAAGTACATCTGGAAGAACCTGGACTACCCGACCCCGACCGTGGTGGTGCCCTACTGGCTGGCCTACTACCTCGCCCTCCTGCTCGACTGGATTGTGTGGCTCCTGTCACCCCTCGTCTCCATCCATCTCACCTTCACCTTCTTCCGCGTCGTCTACGCCGGTGCCCACAGGTAAGCTACTCCCAGCCATCATCTGCGCTCACCACTAACACACACACACACGACACCGCACGCACGACCGCATACACCGCACGACACGCACGACAGGTATTTCACGATTGAGAAGGCCAAGAGGGACTTGGGGTACAAGCCCAAGGTGGCGCTCAAGGAAGGCATGGCCCGGACGCTCAAGGCCTTCGAGCACAAGCGCAACCCCAAGGCCACCGGCAGCAGCCAGGACAAGAAAAAGGCCAAGTAAATAAATTCTCGTTTGGTCTGGTAAATAAATTTTAAATCAATAATCAATAATCAATAATCCTAATAATTACTAATTGATTAAAAGAGAGGCTCAGGAGGTGAGAGTGCCGGTCTTCTTGCTGTGGCCGTCCTCGACGATGAAGCGCTCGGGCATCTCGCGCGGAATGGGCCACCCGGCCCCGTAGAGGTCGTTCTCGCGTGCGCGCACCTCGATCTCCTCCTGCGTCCACCCCAGCGACGGCAGCCGCGTCACCGCATCCGCCCACCACTCCTGTCGCTCTACACATCCACCATTAGGCGCGCGTCGTGTGCGTGTGCGTGTCGTGCGTGTGCGTTGCGTGTCATGCGGTGTGGTACCCCAGACGCTGCGCAGGTCGTCGGGCACCGGGCACAGGGCGCGCAGTCGCTCGGTGGTGTGGTTGAGGCCCAGGATGGCCTCGAGCTCCTCCTCGCGCTCCTTGAGCTCCGGGTCCATCTTGTCCACGTCATCCGCCTCCTCCTCGCCCTCGGCCCCGCCCACGGCCCGCCGGCTGCCCATGTCCTCCAGGCGGGCCACCTCCTCCTCGGGCGTCAGCTTGCGCTCGCGCCACGACTCGCCATACTCGGCGCGGCGCGCGGCGCGGGCCTTCTCCTTGTCGGCCCACCACTGGAGATAGGCCGCGATGCGCTCGGGCGTCGGCAGGGGGATGTCGATGGCGAAGCAGTGGAGGCCCAGGCGCGGGTAGCCCTGCGGCGTGGTGGACTGCCAGTGGTGGTTGACCGGCAGATCGCCGTGCGTGCTGTCGCCGATGATCGGGTGCGACAGAAACCGACAGTGGCGACGCACCTGGTGGAAACGGCCTTCGCATGATCAATGTGAGTGCGGTGTGTCGTGTGTCGTGTGTCGTGTGTCGTGTGTCGTGTGTCGTGTGTCGTGTGTCGTGTGTTGCGGCGTACCAGTGCGGATTTGGACGAGGAAGAGGGAGCTGGCGGTGTTGACCCGGCGGGCGGGCTTGGTCACTGCGGGGGTGGAGGCGTCGGCGGCCGGCGCCGGGGTGACGACCGGCGGCGGAGTGGCGTAGGGCGTGGGGTTGAGCGAGCGCACCACGCTGATCGACTTCTTCATGCGGCCATTGCGCGCCAGCGGCTTGCAGATCTCCACCGTGTCAGCGCTCGGCGTCGTGCCCCGCACATGGGCTGTGTGTCGTGACGTCAGCTGCGTATCCGGTGGTGCGTGCTGCGCGTGTCGTGTCGTGTGCGTGTGCGTGTCGTGCGATACCGAGATAGGTCTTGTTGGCCGATGGGTGGGTCATGCAGCGCTGTAGGAGGGCCGCCCACGGTGCGGAGAGCGCGGCCAGGAGGCAGCCCGACGCCGGCTTGTCCAACCTGTGCACCAGATGCACCTTGCCCTGCCCCTCCTCCACTACTCCATAAAATAATATTTATAATTTCTATTATTTAAAAAATTGCCAATTTATAATTAGAAAATAGTTTTTTCCAAAGATTTTCCTCTTATTTGATTTGAAAAAGATATGAAGTTAATTTTGAAAGATGATGGTACCAGGGGTGGTGCCCCAGTGGGAGGTGGCGAGGAGCTGGTCGACGTGGTCCTGGAGGAGCTGGGCGGCGTAGACGCGCTCGCTGGGCGGGAGGGACCAGTCCCACTGGTTCCGGTGTACGAACAGACCGCCGGCCTTGCACGCCACCACCCACTCTCCCGGACCCGGACCCACCCGCAGGACCCGTGCCAGCCCGCCCTTCGAACCCGCCGCCGCTGCCGCCGCCACCGCCGCTGCTCCCTCCCTTGCTGCCGCTTCCATCTCTGATCTGTTCTTCCTTCTGAACCTGCTGTCTCCGCCCCACTGTTTTAAGGTGGCGGTACCGCTGGCGCAACGTGCAAGGCAAGAAAGCAGCCCATGAGGGGTTGTTATTTGCCGATGCAGAAGTCGCTGAAGATGACGTCAAGGATCTCGTCGAGGTCGACGCGGCCAGTGATGCGGCCCAGCTCTGCGAGGCCACGCCGCAGCTCCTCCGCGGCCATGTCGATCGACATCCGCGCTTCTCGCGACGCGCTGGCCTCCTCCGCCATGTCCAAGTACCTATCGACCATCGGTAGCGGGTGAGCCATGATCGCACACACGCACACACGCACACACACGCACACACAGAGAGGAGGCATTACGTGCGAAGGTGTTGGAGGGACCGCTCGAGGTGCTCCCTGTGTCGGGCACGCGTGACAACCGCGCCATCCGGCGCAGCCCCACTCTCGAAACTGCAGCGCGTTGGCAAGAGGGAGTCGGGTGAGTGAGCAAGCGCTGCGATGCTACGTTGATAAAGAAAGAAAGAAAGCGAGGGAAGTGCGTACAATGACTTGACCTGCGACTCGAGGGCCTTGGTGAGGTCCTCCAGCCCCTCGTAGTTCTTGCAGCTGATGGTGATCACACGGCGTTGCGTTCCATCAGCCAAGCGCTGGGTAAAGGAGGAGCAATGCGGTGAGTTGTAGTGTGGCTTGCCACTCTCTCTAAGTCTACGACGTACCACGGACGCAGGTGCGGAGGTCAGCAGGTCCTTCTTGTTGAGCACGACGAGCGTGCTGGTGTCGACGAGCGACAGAAGATCGGGCTCCAACGACGGATACGTTGTCCCATCAAACAGGCATATCTTGATGTCGGAACTTGCAAACCTAACCACGTTGATGGTGATGGTGATGACGCGATGGTGGTGGGTGGTGGGTGGTGAGTCATTACGCGCACACGTGAGCCAACGCGAGCGCGATGGTAATCCTCTCACCTTTCTCTGGCCAGTGCGACGCCTTCTTTCTCGATCTCGTCTTCCGAGTGGCGAATGCCGGCTGTGTCGGCGATGGTGAGCGGGTAGCCGGCCAGATCCAGCGACACCTGACCGTTGGACACGAAGCCGACGTTCGAATGTGACAGTCAGTTGCATATGCGCATGTCCCTCCAACCCCGTGACAGAGACTGTGTGTCGCGGGCAAGCGAACCTCGATCACATCGCGCGTGGTGCCGGGAATGGAGGACACGATCGCGGCTTTGCGTCGCGCCAGCAGGTTCAGCAGGCTGCTCTTCCCCGCGTTGGGCGGTCCTGGGGAAGCAGAGCGCAGCCAGTGCGCGGTTTAGGGTCGTTGTGTGCAGTGGTCAGGCTCACTTGGGGGGGACGCAGGTACCGACAATAGCCAGGGACGCGCCGCTTCGCATCCGCTCGCCTCTGTGCGAGTCGCTTAGGTGGAGGGCGATCATGTCGTGCAGCCGTTTGATTCGTGGTTGCACTGTGGGTGCGGGTAGTAAACAAGGTGTGCAAAGCAAGGGAAGGCCGAACGGCGCGTTTGCCATCACACCACTAAGCGGCCAAAAGGCGCGGATGTACGATGTACCTGCAGCAGCGACTTCATGGTCGATGTGTTCATCCTCTCCAAAGTCTGCTCAGGTGGCGGTGGCGCATGTGAGACTCACACATATGGGCGTTGGAAGACGTGGCAATGGGCGGTGTGTGTACCGATGACGGCCTCGACGTGGGCGATGCACTTGATCAGCTCCTCGCGCCACTCATTGCAAAGACGTCCCAGCGCACCCTGGGTGGGAAGGAATGAGCTCAACACGTACGTGCTGCGGTTAAGAGGGCGCATGATGTCATACCCCCATCTGGCGCAAGGCCTGCTTCCTCTGTGCCTCGGTCTCGGCGTCGATGAGGTCGGCCAGGCCTTCGGCCTCGGTCAGATCCATCTTCCCGTTCTGGAACGCTCGCTTGGTGAACTCCTACGCGCGATACACCAACTCACTTTTGAGCGACCGCGCGTCACACACGACACACACGTCGCACACGACACACACGACACACCGACGGTACGCACTCCGGGCTCGGCTGACCGCATGCCGGGCAGCTTGCCGAGGGCGTTGAGCACGGCCGTGATGGCAGCATGACTGCCGTGAATGTGCAGTTCGGCCATGTCCTCTCCAGTAAAGCTTCGCGGCCCTATGCACGCGCAGATCAGCATCGCACACAAACACGCACACACGCACACACGACATGCACATGCACACGACACGACACGACACGGCACGACCAAAGACACGACCAAAGACACGGCATGACCAACGACACGACACTACACGACCAACTACACCACACCACACGGCACGCACGACATGACGCCCACCTGGAAACCAGAGGACGAGGCCCTCGTCGAGCAGCTCGTCACGGTGATAGAGCTTGCGCAGGGAGGCCAGGCGGGGTGGTGGCAGCTCTTGCGCACGCGTCAGCTGGCGAACGGCTGCGCCGGCGCGCTCACCCGAGATGCGCACGACGGCGACGCCCGACTTGCCCGCCGGGCTGGTGCCGAGCGCGAAGATGGATTCGCCCGACTGCCCACCGTAGTGGAAGCCTCCACTGTAGCGCCGGGACCCGCGCAAAGATGGAGAGAAGATGCAGGAGTGGTCGAAAGGACACAGGGGAGAGGCCGCAGCGGCGGGGAGGAACGAGGCCGGATGTGCTGCAAGCGCGCATGGATGTGAGGAGGGGAGCAAGATTTGTCCTGTGTGCCAGTCTGAGATGTGGCCCCTTTGGCCGTGCATCTCGTAGCACAAAGAGAAGAAGCACAGTAGGAGGAAGGCGCTGCTCGGCCTCGCACAGCCCTCATCTTCTGCGTTACGAGATTGTATCAATTTTATTTTTATTTATTTGAAAAAATACAAAGTGTTTCGCAGTGCCCCACTGTCGGCCTGTGTTACTTGAACTAGTTTGGTCTTCTACGGAAGCTGCTAGACGAAAGGGGAAAGCAAAGGGGGGGGGGAAATGCCATAGGTTTCCAGACAACAGCGTTTTGGAGGGAAGAGCTTTGTGGGAGATCTTGGTAGACAAGAGAGACGGCAGTTCAAGACATGTGGTTGATACAAAAGAAAAGAGAAGAGAAATGAGGTGGAGGTGTGAGAGAGACCGTCTGAACATGATCAGACAGAGCTAGACAACGCCAGCAGTAGAGGGGGAAGAGAGGAGGGCCTCAATGCCAAGCTGGCACTTGAGGTCAGTGTTGAGGAAGGGAATTGATGCACAGCCTTCAAGGACACAGACCTGCATCCTCATAAACCACCACTCCCACACCATCCAAAGTGTGTCCATGGTGGAGGTACCACTGTAGCAGTGAGGGCAAGACAAAGGGAGAAGGAAGTACCTTGAGAAGAGCAGCTGCATGGCAACCTTTTAGGTGCCAGCCTTGCACGGGCGCCATGTTGGAGATGGTGAGGTGCACCTGTTGGCCAAACAAGACAGAGTTGAGCTTTGAGGGAAGGGAGAAAGGTGATGTGAGCAAGTGGAGGGATGAGGGATGAGGGGGTGAGGCACAGTCAGCTTACCTTGACCAAAAGGACTTGGTGGTCTGGCTGGTTCATTGTCCAGTCATGGAGCCAGTTGACCACCAGGTTGCCAATGTGGGCAAGTGCATGTAAAACGCAGAACATGACATTGTAAGGCTTGACACCTTTGACCAGGGGCTTGGTGTGAGAGGGATCTGGATAGCCTCCCAGGCCCTGTGTGGTGGCCTGTCTGTGCATGACATCAATGTGAAGTGGCCAGGAGGATTGTGAGCCAGGGAAGTGGTGCAGCCAAAAGCAGTAGATGCAGCACCATTCTGTTGAGCTTGGCCCTTGCCAGAGGAAGAACTGAAGCATTGGATTGTTGGAGCACACTTGAAGGGTGATGGGCATGGTGAAGGATGGCTTGTTGCTGGGCTGAATGGTCATGAAGCTGTTTGCCTTGGCCTTGGAGAGGTAACTGCATGCAGGCAAGTGTGGGAAGTGAGTGAGAGGCAAGTGGATGGAGGAAGGAAAAGGGGAACCTGTTGTTGGTGTGGAGGATGGCTTTGAGGTGAGGTGAGTGGGAGGTGGTGTGTGTCAAGATGCTCAGGAATTGGAAGTGTAGAGTTTTGCACAGATGCCTGAGGTTCTGATATGTGTAGGTCTTGGTGTAGGTGGACTGGCCCCCTTGAGGGTATTCATCCATGTGATGGATGATGTCTAGACAAGTTGCATATTGGAAGTGTTGGGTGATGAAGGGGTGGGAGAAGACGTAGTTGATGATGTTGGAAAGTGGCCAGACTGTTGTGGCATGACCATTTGACACAAATGTCCACAAACTGTGGACCTTGGTGAAGTTGTTGTGCTAGAAGGAGTGAACAGACTCCACTGATGGGAGGAGATGGGGAACTGGTGAACCTGAAGATGAGAAGAGTGAGCAGACATCAGTGAGTAGGAGTAGAAGACATACCAGTAGACAAGTGGAGAGGACGATTTTGAGGGTCATGGGGATCCTTCCCAAGGTAGAAGATGAGGCGTTTGTACTGACTGAAGGAGAGACCAACGCCCACAATGATTGCAGCTCCATGGAGAGGTTGGGTGAGGAGGTCTTGCAGGTTGGCAAGGAGCATGCAATCAAGAGACTGCTGCCAGTCTGGCACAGTCAGGCTGAGGGCAACAACTTCCTGTGGTGGGGCTTGTAGGTTGCTGAGGATGAAGGAGGCCTCCACTGGCATCCAGTGTGGATCCTTGGTTGTCCCTGATTGCAGGAAGGGCAAGAGTGTCTCCCTCTTGTGAGCAAGGGCCTTGTAGTTGTGGTCCTTGCTCTCAGGATTGTTGACGTTGTCAATGAAAAGCTCAATGAAGACCTTCCATGGTGCAACTGTGTTGGATACTCTTCATCTCTCTCTCTCTCTCTCTCTTTTTCTCTATCTTTCTTTATGTTTACCTTTCTTTTCTTTATTCCCTCTTATTTCCTCTGACTTCACACTTGTACTGTTTCAGATCTCCTCAATACATTACCTTTTTTCCTTTCAGACATCTGGGGCTTTGATGGACGCCAACACTATGCCCTGGCCCACGTGCTTGCTGCCTACTTCACCTTCAAGCCTGTATGTCCATGGGTGCTGTGGAGTAGGTGGTCTTTATGGCCATCAGGATGGAGGTGCCAATGTGGCAGATGACATCTTCATCTGCCACCTTCAGCGTCAATGTTGCCTCCTCCAGGAGTTGCCTCTGCACCACCAACTTCTGGAGGAGCTCATCTCACTCACAGCACAGCTCATTGATGACAATAGAAGGGGGCTCATGCATGAGAGGTGGTGCTACTTGTGAGGGGGGGGTATAGACTGTGTAGTCTATAAGCCAATGGGCTGATAGCATTGCATGTGCAGCCACAGGTGCATGCCAGCGGTAGGGCGTGGTGCTATAGGGGTAGGGCGTGGTGTGGTGTTGCTGTGCTCCATCTGCCACTTGCTCTTCGTCTTGTTTATTTTCTTGTTGGCCTCAAACAACCACCTGTGATCTGCAGTACCACCTGCCCAGGCATTGTCTAGACAAGGAAGTGATCACCTTGTTGTCTGCAGTGAAAGTGTGTTTATTGCATAAGAGAAGAGGATCACAAGGTTCCTCATGAGGTGGTGTCCTTGCTGTTTTGCCTAGCTGTGGTACGCCCATGAGGAGGAGCTGGCTGGGCGTGAAGGCGTCTTTGCTGTGGGTTGTTGATGAGCTTGTGATCTTGTGTCATTGTGTGGTGCATGCTTTTCAGCATGACCACAAACTCCATCCCCTTCTGTTGCATTGGGGAGGGCTCACAGGAAGGCAGAGCTGGTAGGTGGAGGGAGGGATGTGGTGCTGTAGTAGGGGTGGTGTGAGAGTGGAGCTGCTGTAGATGTGGCACAGACAAGACTTAGTCATTCCCAGACTGGAGCAGAAAAATGTCTAGATGTACCTCCAGTTGCTGCATTAGGCCAGTGTCTATCTCTTTGTGGGTGGGCACATGGCTCTGCACTTGTGCCTGGAGCCAAGGCCTGAGGCTTTCTGCCACAACACCTGCATTGGTGGGCTGGTATGCTGCCTGCCAGATGTGGCCACTGTGGTTGGTGTTGGTCCACAGGTGCCTGATGCACTGTGTGCAGACTTTGATGTTGTGTGGTGGGATGTGCAATGCACAGGTGATGCACTTGAACACTGGGCCTAGCACAGCATGGCACTTGTCACATGACTTGGTCAGGCGCTCTGGCTCCATGTTGTGCACAAGGAGCACGCCTGTGATCTGTATAGACAAATTAGCATAGTGTCTGGACATACACTCAACAGGAACAGTTTGTGTACACTAGGCCTGGTGGCTTTGGCCTCTAGCCCCTGGTCGCTCTGAGGGGGGGAGGCTGTGTGCAACATGGCAGGATGCTGTACCTCAGCTAGGATCTCGTCTTCCTTCACATGGGCTAGAATGATGAGCTTGCTGCTGGACCATGTGTTTAGTGTTCATGTACTGTTTTGTCTGCTTTGGCCTTCTTCTCTGATGGCTCTTGCATCAAGGGGTCCTTGTAGGCCGCTGCTGCCAGGGTGTTGGGGCGCTTGTGCTTCTTGTGATGGTGGTGGTGCTGCTCCTTGGCGTCTAGCTTCTGCTTCAGCTCCACCACCTCTGCCACGAGCTTCTCATTCTTGGCTTGCTGCACATTCCATGCCACTGGTGAGTGTGTTGTGCAATTTGCAAGACATGGAATACATACCAGTCCAGACACTGCTTGGTGATGAACTGTCTGGTGGTGCTCCAGTTGCCATGCCATGATTGCCATTGCCAAGGTGGGGTTGTCTTGCACCTCCTGCCAGGTCCACTTGGTCTTCTTGTTTTTGTTGTACCATACACAACAAGCAAGATCTTGGCTGTTGTTGACACTACCTATTGTGTACTACACTTACACAAAACTCCAGGTTACATTGCACACACAAATTGTTGATGTCTGTACCTTCTTGGGTGTCTTGGAGCTCTTTCAGTCCTCTTCTTCTTCCTCTTCCACATCATCATCTTCCTCACCATTGCTGTCATTGTTGTCCCCCTCCTCCTCCTCCTCCTCCTCCTCATCACTCTCAGCCTTGTGATGCACACAGCTCAACCAAGTGCGCTTCACAATGGGCCCCTTCTCCTTTGACATCTGCCTCCCCTTGAAGTGGTGGTGCCTGTAGTTGGTTGTGTTGATGTTCTGGTCATAGAGGTTGCACTGTGCTGCTGCCAGCACGGCATTGAAGGTCTTGATGACAGGCATGTAGATCATCTCAGCTTCCACAGGGGGGGTCGCCTGCTCCCATGACTGCAACATCACAAAGATGCCCCACTGACAAAACTGATCCATTAAGACCCTGTCTAGGGTGTTAGTAAAGACTTTGCTTCAACTGGCTTAACAGACAGCGACAATGTATGTGTAGGTCGCTTCTGTGACATAGGAGTTGGCTTGGTGCATCATGCACTTGTGCAAGTTGAGGTCTTGGTTGAAGTAGTGCTGCTTGCAGAACCTGTGTACGTCCATGTAGTTTGTGTTGTGCTTGTCTAGCACTTGCACCATGTTGATGAGGATGTCTGCAAACATGCAGTTGGTGAGGTTAGTGTTGATGGACTGTGTCCACTCAATGCAGGCAAGCTCTTGCGGCAAGCCCTTGAGTTCAGGCTGTATGACTCCCTTCTTGAAGGTAGTTGTTGAGTGCATGATCAAGTGGTCACTTTGCTCCTGCCATATTCCCCCCCCCAATGCCCACAACTGTGTATACACATGTTACCATTATGAGTTGCAGCTATTCAACACACAGACAACCATACCTTGAAGTGACCAATCTTGTCTAGGTGGATCCTGTGTGGTGGTGGAGCCTTGGTCTTGATGGGGGCTTGGTTGACTGCCTGGGGTGTGGCCATTGCTGCCAGGTGGCCCAGCACCTGTCTCATGTCTAGGTTGTGCTCTGCCAGGAGTTCGGTGAAGGCCTGAGGAGCAGGGGTATTGTGGTCCATGGTGATGTGGAGCTGGTGGTCATTGGAGCAAGAAGAACGCATTTGGTGTGGTGGCTGTTTTATACAATCAACCAGCCCTCAAAATCTCTGCATGTACTGAGTGGGAACCTGTATGTGTCTAGCCAATACTGCTGGCCTGCTCTTCTTGTCTATTGTGCATTCCACGGTCTTTCTACGCCCAGACAAGGGTGTGCAAGCGCCCAGAGTTGGAGCCTTACTATGTGGTATCCTTTAATTTTTTTGACACCCGCTTCTACCATCCGTGCCGCCCGTCGGGATATTTAGGCTGTCTGCGACGTGTCTGCCACTTTTTCAGGCCGCCAAGCCCTAAACTAGTTCAAGTAACACAGGCAGACAGTGGGGATTGATGGTGTAGCCCTCAGAAGCCGCGGGCCGGGACTGCTGGCCGAGGAGAAGTCACGCTGCTGGCCGGGAGAAGTTACAAGGCCGGCTGGCTCCTCCTCCATCGGCGTAGCCTGTTCGGCTTCCTCCAGGAACTGGGATGTGGCCGCGACGTTTGGCACCTTTTTGTGATGGCCTGTGCCAAGATGAGGTTAGGTGCTTGCGTGCCGGCGGTGGGTTGGCCATGAACGTACCGCGTTGCGGTGGCCTGCGCGGTGGGCCGCCGCTTCGAACGGGCGCCGCCAGGCGAGGCCCGGCCGGCTCGGCAACTTCGGCTAGCACGCTGACCTTGACCTCCGGTTCTACTGGTGTAGACGCCGCCGGTGGTGTTGGTAGGGGCTTGATGACCTTGTCTTGATTCTCCTTCTTGCTCTTTTTGTCCTCCTTCTTCTTTACATCTTCCTTCTTCTTGTTCTCCTTCTTCTCCTGCTTCTCCTTCCTCTCCCTCTCCTTCTTCTCCTTCTTCTCCTTCTCCTTCAATTCCTTCATTTCCTTTTTCTCCTCTTTGTCCTTCTTCTCCTCCACCTTCTCCTTGTCCTTCTTGAAGAGCTTGAGCCCGCCCTTGCCAGTCTTGGCGGCCGGCGCCGACGACTGTAGGGCCGCTCGCGGCGTCAGCACCTGCTGCGGCCGCTGCGGGAGCGGCAGAGGGATGATCTTCTCGGGCTGTATGACCTCGAGCATGGGCAGGTGCGCCTCCTTCCTGCGGACCAGCTCGCCGCGCACCCACAGGAGCGCCTCGCCCATCATGTTCTCGCCCGAGCCGACCCGGTTCTTGTTCTTTTCGCCGTTGCCCAGGTACTTGTCGGCCTCCTTGTACACCAGATGCAGGCCGCCTGTGTTGAGCAGCTTCTTGCACAGGGTCTCGTTGCTGCCGAACTTGAACAGGTTGACTTCCCTCATTACCTGCAGAAACTTGGTGTGTGAGCCTCACGAAAGACGCTTCGGTGTGTCGTGTGTCGTGTCGCACCTCGAAACGAGAGTCGAGCCATTCTTTCTGGATCTCCTCGGGCTTGATGGAAGCATCGAACTTCTTGAGGTCCTTGCCGCTCGAGGCGGAATGCAGCTTCTTGGATGTGGGCGAGTCCGACGAGACCTTGTTTGCCTGTTAACAGAACATTAGCCACCAACACCACACGTTGCCGATCAGCGCCAGCTGCGAGAAGAAGAAGAAGAGAGGCTCAGTACCAGGTAGTAGTGCAGGCAAGTAGGCCAGAGTCGGCCGGCCAGGGTCATGTTCAGGGCGTAGGACGGGCTGAGGCACGAGGCGTCGGAGAAGTACAGCACGCCGTCCTCGATGTGTTCGTCCTTCCCCAGGCTCTTCGAACGAGGCGAGAGCGCGTTGGCCGGCGACTTGTCCTTGTTCCTCCGTCCGAAGCCGAGTCGCGCCTTCTTCTCGGTGGCCTTCTCGTTGGCCTTCTCGATCTCCCTGAGCGAGAGCCGCCGGCCCACGCCGCTGTCGTCCAGGGCGCGCCGCAGCGGCGGTACCTGGAAGCCCGTCTCGCGCTGTCGCACCAGGCCCCGGTCCTCAGCGTTCATGTCCATGAGCGTCCGGGCGCTCAGGGCCTTGTACTCGGGCGTCATGGCGCGACTGCGACCCCGCCCATCACTCGAACCCTCGAGGAGGTTGAGCACGACGGCCGGCGCAGCTGTGTCGGGACCCTTAAGGGTCATGATCCTCGCCTCTCCTCGCGGTCGGGTCCGAGCATCCACCCCGTCTCCAGGCTCGCCCGCTTCTCCATCGCCGTCATCTTCTTCTGACGAGTCCGAATCATGGTTGATTAAATCGCTGCTCTCCTTCTCGGCCAGAATCTCTTCCGTGTCCACTTCGCCGGCCTCGTTGTCTTCCTCGTCGCCTTCAGCGTCATCGCTTGACTCTATGGACTTCTCTTCTTCGCCTGACTGCACCGCCACCTTTCCTTCTTCTTCTTCATCATCATCATCGATTGCTGTCTGCTGCTCCGTCGATTCGCTTACCCTCATCTCACCGCTTGGCTCCAGCAACGCGTTTGACTCTTCTTCATCATCGGTCACCGTATGCTCCTGGACTGGCTCTTCCTTCGATTCGCTTGTCTTCTCCCCTTCACTTGCTTCATCCAACTCGTTTGGCTTGTCTTCTTCGCTCGACTCCAAAACCACGTTCGGCCTCTCGTCATCGCCTGTCTCCTTCCGTGCGCTGGGCTTCTCTTCTTCGCCAGCCTCCGTCGATGCGCTCAGTTTCTCCTCTTCGCTGACCTCATCTTCCCCCACCTCCGTCGATGCGCTGGGCTTCTCTTCTTCGCCAGCCTCCAAGGACCTTTCGCCCGGTCTGTCTCCTTCGCTTGCCTCCATCTTGGCCTATGTACACCCCTCCAACTTGCGAGGCTTGGCTTCTTGAACAGCCACTTTCAATTAGGGCCATTCCCTTTCTTTGGACAAACGTGGGGGGTCACATACCAAGAATTCCAGATTTGCTTCTTGCCTTCTTGCCGCCGTAGGCGGATGGAGAAGCCACGCGAATCCGTCGCAGTCCACACAACAGAGAGGGCACGCATCACTGTGTTTTCACTCTCTTCTTGAGAGCAATCTTCATTGATGATGCCATACATACACACCACCACACCCACCACTACTTGGGCGTGGCATCCCGCATGGCCTGCACAAGAGAGCACAGAATGAGACAGAGACCTCAGCCAAAAGAGCTGCAGAAAAAGAGGGGTGAGGTACCTGATATCTGCCCGCGTAGTAGCCCGAGTAGTACCAAGCGTTCAACAGACTCTTGAGCTCCTCATCGTCTAAGCCCGCTGTGGTGGAAGGCGAGGTGGTTGTGCGTCAGTCGTCAGCCAAAGAACAAATGGGCAAGAGAGGGTATTGTACCAGGAGGTGGTGGCGGAGGCGGAGGGTGGTGATGATGGTGACCATGGTGATGGTGGTGGTGAGGTGCGTGCGTGTGTGGCACTGGGTGGAAGTGGTAGTGTGGGGTGGTCGGCATCGGCGGGTAGGCAGGGGACATCATCGGATAGCCTGAAGGGGCTCCGTAGGGATACGAGGCACCATATGGTCCCTGAAATACTGGGAGGTGAGCGTAGGTTGCGGTTTGGTTCGAGCTAGCGGGCAGCGTTACCTGAGGGTACGCCGGCGGATAGTAGGCAGCGTAGGCCGGGTCGTAAGCGGGAGTATCTACTGCTTGAGTTGCGTCCTTCTTCTTGCGCTGCGTCTTCTTTGGCGACGGGGCGGCTGGTGAGGCCGCCGCCGTGTAGGCACCGGGGTACTGTGGGTGGGGGTAGTATCCTCCGTAGCCACTGTAGTCATAGCCAGCGTACGCAGCAGCCTCATGTTCGCCCTGATCGAGGGCTCCAGGCGCCACAGCGGTTTGCGTGGCGGTCTCGTCTGCTGCAGCTTCTTCCCCCTCATCGTCCACGATCCGCTTGCGTGCGGCAGTAGACTTTCTGTGCGGTTGTAAGAGAGTGAGACTCCAAGAACAAAGAAGCTGGCTTCTGAACGGACCTCTTGGGCGTCTTCTTGGACGTATCCTCCTTGTGTGCGGGAGTGGTCGGTGCGGAGGAGCTGACAGCCATGGCCTCCGCCGGTGCTGTTTGCGTTTCGCTTTCGTCCATTCTGGAGCCATCTGTGTACTCTTCTTCGCCCTCATCCTCCGGCATGGGAGTCTCCTCTTCCTTACGGTTTGGATCATGCATTTTCTGTACCCAATCAGTCAGCACAGTCCCCACGAATGAAAGATGCTAATAGGACCTTATAATAGTTGATGGACTTGGAAAACGCTTTGATGAGCTCAGTGTCGTCCCAGATCTCATTAAACTCGGCCCCGCCCATTGCGATGGGCTGCCATGATGCCTTGCCCTCCATCTTGATCGCAAACTTTTCTTTTCTTTTTTCACACAGCAGCCCCAGATATTTTGGCAATTTGTTCGAGGAATGGGCCAAGCAGTTTCCCGCCCTTTTTGTGCAGGCAAAGCCAAGACTGGATACTTGACTAGTTGTGATCGAGGCCGTGAGCAGGCTTGTGCTCGCATACGCTACGTTTGGACGCGAGTTGAAAGATGGACAACCATCCACCTCCGCCGCAGCCGCCCCCGTATAATTTGTGCAATTTGACGCATTTTACGAGCACTCTGCCGGCTTTGCCCCTGCCCACGATCACCGTGCCGTATGCCGTCAACGTCTTCGCCTCCCAACCGGCCGAGGTAGCGGTGCACGCGGACGAATGGTTGGACAATCCTACACCAGAAATCGATGCAATGATGAAAGAATGGCTGGCTGACGCCGACATGACCTGGGCGTACGATTTCCTCTCCTTACTCGCCAGCACTATTTATTACTGATTGTGGCACTTCTCGTAGGCCTAAAAGTGAAGAAGGTCAATTCAGCCGTACGCCGGCTCACTCGCTCTCCCTTCCTCGCAAGCCACTCGGGGACCTCTCGAACATGCCTCTTGCGAGTCAACAAACGGCGACCAAAGCGGTCCCTTCCGCGGACAACCACCAACACCAACCAACTGCTCAGCACACCAGCATGCCTCCTCCTCAACCTGTCAAGGTACGGCGGTGTCGGTGGCAGGCCGCTACCTCGGTGCGAATTGGACACTTATCTTCTACACTTTTCGTGGTCCATCAGACCTTCTCCAAGAAGCGCCAGCAGCAAGGCCAGCAGGGCGGACCTGACCAGCCGAAGAAGAAGATGCTCAAGCTTAAGACTAATCGTCAGCAAGCAAGCAGCACGAAAGAAGGTGAACTCTGTCCCATGCCGCCTCTCTATGCTTGTAAACTCACATCTTCTAACCCGGTATATGTGTACTATTGTAGAGGACATACTTGAATCGATGGAGGGCAAGCGCTTCGGGGTGCTAATTGCGCACGTCTTTGAAGTGCATGATGCTAGTGTTCACGAGGAGGAGGAAGAACGCGTAGTAGAGTACGAAGTGGTACGCCCTCAGCGACTCTTGCTTCTGCCTTAGCTCATTGGTGTTAATTGTCCTACGGCGCAATCGTGTTACAATCGCGTCAGCTTAACGAACTATGGACCGAAACGGCGAAGCTCAAGTCGAACGGGTCTCTTTCACGCGTGCCAGCCGACGTGCTGTCCCGGCTGATCCAGATCTTGGACACTTACGTGAAGAAGGGCAACAACATCAGAATTCTCGAAGAGGAGGAGGAGCGAGTACGTAGCCCAAGACATCCAACATTTCGGTTAAATCATTGTTGCTGTGCTCATTGCTTACGTCGTTCATGTGAACACAGGGCGAAAAGGTGAAGGAGATCACTGTCCTGTACGGTTTCGTCGCTGCTTTGGTCATCCTCCATATCTTTGCGGCAGACAACCTTGAAAAGTCTTTGATCGTCGAGGAGGTACGCCTTTCACCTCATTTGGCATTTGTCGCAGCAATGTGTAACGGTTCATACTTGTTTCCTCAGGTGATCGAGAACATGCTTCAGTTTGCAAAGTTCAACGTAGCCCACAACATCATCCCCGCTTTCGATCCTCTGATGGAGACAAAGAAGACGAAAGGAAAGAAAGCAACCGAACGCAGCAAGAGGTAGCCCAGCTGAGCGCAGTTGCTTCGTGAATGCTCGTTCGGTCTACTAATGCGCTTTCGGCGACAGACTCGTTGGGTTGCTGTGCTGCTACCTCGACGTCTTGAACGAATTCGCAGCCAAGGAGCCACTTACGGACAGCATGGTGTTGGACATCTGCGCCGTTACCATCCCCACCTTCTTCATGGAGGGTGGTAGCGAGTTGCAGCTGCATGCGCTGAACGTCGTTCGCACGGTGCGCCACACTGTCAGAGATGCATGCCACCTTGCCATTCACGCTGATTGCTGTCCCTTCAGATCTTCTCCCGATACGAGAAGCACCGGACACTCATCCTCGAAGACATCTTCACCTCACTCGCCAAGTTGCCCAAAACGAAGAGAACACTGCGAACGTACCGGTAAGAGTTGAACGCCATTTCGCTTCGTTGCTCGTCTGCGGATACAGTTATTGATACTATCTCTTGCTTGTTCGTTCCTAAGCTTGCCCGAGGACAACAAGGCGATCCAAATGGTCTCTGCGCTGGTTCTTCAGTTGATTCAGTGCTGCCCTTCGCTCGTGAAGCTGGCCATCGTCGGCACCAAAAAGGGTATCGACCTGGAGCCCCAGAAGCCGCAAGCTGATGGCGAGTCTGCTGTCACCGTCAGCGATGCCAACTCCTACGAAGCCGCCGCGGCTTGCGCCCTTGCCTTCATGAAATCGTTCGTGGCGAAGTACGTTAACCCATCAAAAGGCGTATTTGCTCCTCGTCTTACCCGTAGTGTTGTATTTTTGCTTGCTCTTGATGCAGATGCTCTACTCGCGAAGAAGACAACGACTACCGGCAGATCCTCACAAACTTCGTTGAGGACCTACTGATGACCATCAACCTGCCGGAGTGGCCAGCGTCGCAAGTGGTCCTCCGAGTATTGAGCGGCATTCTGCTCAAGAACGTGAAGAAGGACTCGAAGGAGAGCACCGTGCTAAAGACCTTCTCGATTGAGATCCTGGGCAACGTGACGGCCAAGGTAAGAAGGAAATGGCCTTGGCACAGCAGTGGATGGAGGTGTTGCCTGGTCAAACGGTACGCCCTCACCTGCCAGAGTGTCCTGCTTCCCCAAACAGCCGGACCTGACCATTGTTCTTCAGCAGGACAAGGACGACAGCGTTTCATGCATCTGCAACACCAGACACGACGACGGGCAGTTCATGCTCGACTGCGACGAGTGTCACAAGTGGTTCCACGGTGCCTGTGTGGGCGTGATCCCGAGAACGTAAGTGTCTCTATTCATGAAGCATCTTGCGTCTTCTTCTTCATCTCACGGCCTTCCTTCAGGTGCCGGCCAGGTGGTTCTGCGACACCTGTCTCATCCGAAGAAAGGTTCGGTCGAGGAAGAACGGCGATACGGGAGCAGCTCCCTCGATTGACCTCTCGCAGGCCTCCCTCGACATGTCCGTCGACGAACCTAACGAAGATGAGGTATTGGTCACAGCTTATTTTAGTCTTCAGCCCGCCTTAATGATGTACTGACAATGTTGTTCAGAAATCGGTGGATATGAGCATAGACACTCGAGAGGCGCATGAGATTGATGTCATGCGGCAGATGCTCCTCAATTACTTGGGTGAGCGCACCAAGATGGACCCATCGGTGCTCTTCTCGCGCCAGTTCTTCATCAGCCAGTGGTGTCACGGCGAGAACGACGAAGATAAGGTTCAAGACTACAAGTCGCAGTGGGAGGTCGATTCGAAGAGGAGTCTGGAGATTGCCGAGAGGTACTACAGCTGGCTTTTGTCAACATAACTACCCTAACAGCATCTAACTATTTGGTTTCTTTAGGAACGAACGGCTTCTCTCGCGTGACGGAGTGATGAAGATCGTCCGCTTCCTCTCCACGAAGGGCTCTTTGTTCCTCAGCTTCGACAGCATGCTCAACCAGATTCTCGGTCTGATGAACGAGCCGCTCACCACCTTCCGTTCGAAGGGACTGAAGGCTCTCACCGCCGTTTTGGAGGCAGACGCGAACACTCTGGGCGATGTACGCACCCTGCTCAGTCAGTGCTAATGCGAGCTTCGTTACTTACTTTGACAATGTATCAGCCCCGAGTTGAACAGGCCGTGAAGGGCAGATTCTGGGATAACGCGATCTCCGTTCGCAGTGCCGCGGTCGACCTAGTCGGCAAGTATGTGTTGGAGCGGCCCGAGTTCGCCTCGCAGTACTACCCGATGATCGCCGAACGAATCCTGGTACATGCTCCCCCGCTCCCGGCCATTAAGGAAACGAGTCAGCTGACAACCCTTTACACATGTACAGGACAAAGGCGTGACTGTGCGAAAGCACGTGGTGACGATTCTACGCAACATGTGCCTAGGCCAGCCGCATCACTCGCTTGTTCCCACCATCTGCAAGAAGCTGGTGACCAGGATTGGCGATGAAGACGAATCTATCAAGGTGCGTACTAATCTCAACTTTATGTTCTGCGAGCCCGTTGCCAACTCAAGCGCCTCTGTCCCCCAGGAAACGGTCCTGAAGACTTTCCAGGAACTTTGGTTCAGCCCCATGCCCAAGAAGCAGGACGATGCCAACTCTGAGACAGACTCCTCTGCTGCCAAGGTATGATTTTGAATTCGTGAGTTTGAATTCGGATGGGTTGAAAACCGCCGCTTGCTCACTCTGAAACACCGCTGCTCCATCAGACGCTTGACATGCCCGCACGCGTGGATCAGCTAATCGAGGTCGTCACAATCTCGAGCAGCAGCCAGTGGTTTATCGATCTGTTGGTCAGCGTATGTGGCTCACTCTTCTCGTAGCTTAAACTAGCGCTCGGCCATTTTGCAAATAGCGTGTCAAATCACTGACCCGCCTCTCTGCAGTTGCTGACCAAAGAATCGAAGGAATCCGGCAAGCATGTGCACGCCATCTGCAAGGTGATGGTGTCGTGCATTGTCGAACGCATCTTTGCTGTAGACGAGCAGAACGTCGACCAAACCACTCAGCAGGTACCTTCATCCCTCCGACACGAATATAGAACCCTCAACTCACCTTTTGTTGTTTCCACCTAGGATCAAACCAAGCGCATCGTCAGATCTATGCCAGCCATTCTCCACGCGCTTCACCTGTTTTGTCAGGCGTCGCCTGATCTCCTTGTTCCACACATCACGACTCTCCATCCGTACATGAAGCTGCTGGTATGTACCACTGCGTCGCTGCCACGGAATATCCTTGGCCGCGATGTGCAAGTACTTGAGTAACGTATGTGTGTACGTGTATGGTCAGACGAACGACAACAGCGAGCACTTGACCGCGAAGAACGTGATCGGGATTATGGAGAGCGTGGCACCACTGATCGAACACCCCGACCCCACGTTTTTCGCTGCTGTCGAGAAGGACCTGGAGGAGCTCATCTACAACATCGCGCTCATCTCTCCGGTAGCTCCTCGGCTTTTGCTCTTTCAGTCTTACCCTCAAATCTTGAGTGCATTATAATGACCAGCCACTTTCCAACGCAGCTCGCTTGGTCGGTCATCGCTGTTGCTGCGAAGTGCCTCGCTACTTTCGTGCAGAAGCTGACGAGCCACCACGAACTAGTGCTGGGCATCGTCGATCGGTTCCAGACCTACCTCGACAAGTGTCGAGCTATCTGCACAAAGCAAGAACTGCTGACCCCTTCTCGAGTGCTCAACGCTGGCCGAGCGCTCTACTGCCTCGGCCACATCTGCCGATACTACGACGCCACTCCTACAAGTGCGTATTTTACCACTGTGTGCCAGAGCTTGTGACCTCTCTTACCGATTTCTCTGGTTGTCTGTATCTTCATGTAGAGAAAGGCGCCGCTACCAAGGATCCGATCCTGCATAAGACTTTCAACTTGTTGGTCATCTATGCGCAGAGCATCAGCACGGACCTGCAGCTGCGAGCAACTCAGGTGTGATCCCTTCGCAATAAGCAAAGCTGCTTGGACCTAACCGATCCGTCTCTTCTCTGTGGTGGTTTGCACAACCAGGCCATCGGAAGCATCTTCGTACGCGCGCCCGAGCTCATGCTTAAGTCCCACGTGCAGACCATCATCCGGAAGGGTCTATCTTCCGAATCGCACGAGGTCCGTCTTCAAATGCTGCTCAACATCTCCGACTTCCTTGCGGCGGAGGAGGCCAAGGCGCTTTCAGCAACAGCCGGCAAGAACAAGAAGAAGTCCAAGAAGCCAGGTGCGTGGGGTGTTGCTGGCGCCTGCAGTTTCTCTATTCTGATTCCTTACATTCGTGCTCGCCTCTGGGTGCAGTAAAAGCCAAAGCCCAGGCGAAACCCAAGGGAGAGGATGAGCTGGACCTCGATGGCTCGGTGGACCATAACGAGTCGTTGGACGAGAGCAGCCACGAGCTGTTTGTGGAAATGGACAACAGCGACTCCGGGTACCCATGCAGTTCCCATTTCGTGACTTCCTAAGTGCTGGGAAAGCTGCTGACGTACCTTGTTCATGATAGGGTGAGCAACACAATCGCTCAGACGTTCCTCGAGTCAGTGTTGGAGCAATGCCTCGACACGCACCCCCGCGTGCGAACTGCTGCGCTTAACACGCTAGCCCACATTCAACGTCAGGGACTCATGCACCCACTGCAGGTGAGCTCTCAGGCCAGTCCCTCAATTCTACACGATAACCAAACTTACCCCTCTCTTCCTCCTTCAGTGCGTGCCTCATCTGGTCGCGCTGGAGACCGACAGAGAGCTCGCTATCGCGGACAAGGCCCACCGACTTCTCATGACGATTAACGAGAAATACCCCAGCTTCCTGCACAACCGCTTTATCGACGGCATCAAGCTGTCGTACACGTTCCAGAAGAACACCTGGGGCACCTGCATAGGTACGCAAATACCGCTCGTCGATCGTCTTAGGACGATCTTCGTCTGACAAACGCATGGCTCTCCCTGCGCACAGCTCTGGCGCCCAACTCGGAGTTGCCACTGTCCGTGCTCGCCCAATTGTACACTCTGTTCAGCGACAAGCGCACCACCCGAAACTTCTTCCTCAGCTCCATCATCCGACTCTTCGAAAAGTGTACATCGTCGGAGGAGGTGCGCAGCTATTCTTCCTCCGCCCCTTCGACTCTTTTCTTTTACAGGCTAACGTGCCCTCCAACCTCAACCTAGACGGACATCAACTTCTTCCGTTATCTGGCCGAGCTCATCCTCAGTCTTCCCTACACCTATGCCGATGAGGTGTTGAGCATCATCTACTACATCAATCGCTCGGTATCGTTCGTGGGCGGCACTGCTCTGGTTGCGCTTGAGACCTTCTTCAAGAAGTCCAAGAGTAACGACAAGAACCCACCCGCGGTAGCGGAGGACAAGCTCAAGATCTCGTCCATGATCATGATCCTGCTGGTTCTCAAGCACACCCTCAAGCGAGCCTACAAGCTCACCGACAGGTACACACCCTCAAGCGAGCCTACAAGCTCACCGACAACTCAGCAATTCCGATCCTTCCGGTTGTTAGTAAATGGAGTTGACTGACCTTCCTCTACGATCAAGTCGATGCAAGGCCTACTCCCCGACGGAAACTGTCAAGGCGCGGGAGGGCAAGATCACCGAGGCGCCGGTGATAGAGTTCACCGCCGACAGCTCGCCCTTCGCGACCATCACCTGCGACTTCGACGTCGATGACATGCCGGCGCTCAAGACCCATTACAAGGAGGTTCGTGCCCTACTGTGCGTGTCGTTGGTCATGTATTATCGTTGTCGTGTTGCGTACATTCCAGTGTGTCATTTCGTACGTTCTGTGTAGTTCAAGCAGGTGATGCGGGAAGACGAGGGAGACTTCGACCTCAAGGAGAGCACGGCCAAGAAGAGCGCAGCCGCCAAAGGCAGGCCACGCGGACGTCCCAGGAAGGTCAAAGCGGCGGAGGAAGAGGCCGAGGCCGAGGGCGAGGTGGAGGGCGAGGGCGAAGACGAAGAGCGATCGCCCGTCGCCCAGCGCACGCGCCCGCCAGCAAGGAGGACGACGCGAGCCAAGGCCAAGCGAGAGGAGAGCGAAGAGAGCGAGGAGGGACAGTCAGAAGACGGCGGCGCCGCGACCAAGACGAAGAAGAACCGGCGGCGCGGAAGAAGAGAGCAGCGCCCGCACGCAAGGCCACCAAGCGAAGGCGCATCGGCGGCGATGACGACGACTCGAACGACGGCGACTTCGTGGGCTGATGATGGTCATCGCATTCTTTGCTTTGTGTCCTTGTGTTATTGCTTCATTTACAACTTGTTCTACAGCTTCATGTCTTCGCCTTTGATCCACCACAGCCCTGTGCATTCGGGAAGTGTTGCTTCCTCGGTATCCTCTTCCTCTTCTTCTTCCTTTGTTTCTTCTTGTTCTTTCACTTCTGCTTCCTTGGCTTGCTCGTCGTGCTCTGTCGTGGTCTCCTTCGTTTTCGTTCTTTCTTCGCTTTCGCTGCCTCCCCTCCTGTTCTTCGCTTCGCTTTTTGCGCCTCTGCTTGACTCTTCGCTCTTCTGCCATGCCGGCCACCTGCCACCACCGGCAATCACCAGCGATCGACGATGAGAACTGACTACAACAAGAAGAAGGAGAAGCAAGAAGCAGACAAAGCAGCGTGCTTGCTGTACCTTGTTGCCAAAGAAGAAGCGTGTGAGGGCGATGGCCTCGTCCCAGTCGACGAAGCGGTAGTCTGTTCTGAACCATCGGAAATGGAAGCCAGCCTCCTCCAGCAGTGCGTAGAACAGGTTGCGCCGATTGGGCTCCTCGTTGCCCGTACCTGCGATCATGACGACGACGACACATGGGTCAAGAAGAAGAAGAAGAAGAGAAAGCAAAGGTGTGAGAGCTCAGCACAAGCGGCCCGTGTGGTGGTTGGAAGTTACCGAGGGTCTCGAGGATGACGAGGGAGCCGTGCGGTCGAAGGAGTGCGCGGAGATCGGCGAGTACTCGCTTCACCTCGACGTCCCACGTCAGGGATGACCACACCTCCGCCTTCACGTACGACAGCGTCCACCCTGCACCGCCGCCATCAGTGACGTCATCACCATCACCATGGCCGCTTGGTGCAAGAAGAAGAAGAAGAGAAAAAGTGGCGGTACCGGCCAGCACGACGTCGGCGGATGACGGCTGTAGTCCGAACGTGTGCACCTCGCGGTTGTTGCCTACGCTGAACGTCGTTGTACAGCTCGTGGTGGCGGATGGAGGCATACGTTCGCGAGCGAGATCGAGCATGTGGGATGAGGAATCAAAGGCGTGGATGGATCGAACCCAGGGGGCCACCATACGGGTGAGTCTTCCCGTGCCGGCGCCCAGCTCGACGACGTCAACGTCGGGATGGAAGACGTCGAGCTCGCGAATCGATCTTTCGATGTTGCCCGCGTAGTCCTGGCGCGAGACGAGCAGCTCGTAATGGGCGGCGTAGCGGCGGTAGATCTCCTTGTGGCTCACCTTGAACCCTGCATTCGCGATTTTCGAAGTGTCGGGTGATTTGGAACGATCCGATAGATTTGAAGCTGCAGACTTTCGACGCTTGCGTGGTTGTTGTGGTTCGACTTCGACGGGGCGTCGTCCACCCTCCACATCATCCCCTCGCCGTTCCATCATCTCGAGGCATCTCGGAGAAAAGGGAAGAGAAAAATAGTTGAGGAAAATCGACACGAATTCGAAGAAGCTCAAAACGCAACACTGCACAAGACGCAGCACACAGATCGATCTGTGGACTGTCCAAACACAGCGAACATTGTTAGCGTCCTCCTTTACACTTGCCACCTCCTTTGCCTGTTCTACGTATCTTGGTACGCTCCCTTCACCATTGGCTTTCATCTCGTGTCAGCCGATTGATTATCTCCCCGCAGGCCTCTCTCGAGACCAAACCACTTCACCTCTCCATCTCATCCATCCATCTATAGAGGAGACGAACGATTTGAAATCTCTCGTAAGAGAGAAGCATGCGACGCCCGATCAGACCAGACGGCGAGGAAGAGGACGAAGAGGTGGAGGAGTTCGCTCCTCGCGTATACAGACCCCACGTTGCCATCAACATACACAATGACAACCACACGCACGACGACGTCGCGATCGCCACCAAGAAGGCGCCGCCAAGTACGTACATGCTGGGTCCTGTGTTCGGTGGTCCGTCAGCTGCTGACACGTTCCTCTTGGCGTCGCCCAACCGTAGGTAAATGGCTGGCCCACTTGCCGCTGGGCATTCGCCTGTCCGTGACGGCCGTGCTTCTCGTTATCTTCTTTCTCGTACGGCCTCTACTCTCACACGCACCACCGCGCACCACCACATTTGCCTTCATTGAACGTTAACGTTGTTGTCTGGGTTGTGTCGCTCTTCAAGAGCGTATCAGCGGTGCCGATATGGAACAAGGAGATCTTCGCGGGCGATCTCCCCGGCGCAACGCCGTTCCCCTACGCTCTCACCGTCACCTTCCTGCAACTGGTAAGCGACGCGCTTTTTGTCTACATTCCTTCCGGCCTGTCTGATTGTGCGATGGCGCTGTGCGCGTGTGCGTGCGCGTGCGCGTGGGCGGCGCAATGCAGGCCGGCACAGATGTGCTGCTGTTTCTGGTGGTGCTGGCGACGGCCGGGGTCTACGCATACCGAGCACACGACCGCACCAGGCATTACGGGGCTGAGCCACCCGAACCCCTCAAGCCCTTCTACTTCACCCACCGCTTCCTCTTCAAATTGTACGCAACCACAGTCTGCGCCTAATCGCATGTGTGTCGTGTGCCGTGTGCCGTGTGTCGTGTGTCGTGTGTCGTGTGCCGTGTGCCGTGTGTGGACTCACGATGGACGTCTGCAACGCAGGTGGCACACACTACCCATCGGCGTGCTCTTCGGGTTCAAGCTAGGCCTCACCAACTGGGGCCTCCATCTGGCGCCCACAGTCAACTTTCATCTCTTGGTTCAGGCTTGCTCGGTATAAATCACAGGCCCGCGCCTCGTCTCGCGCGCGTCTATGTGTGCGTGTGTCATGTGTGTGGTGACTCACCACACATTGCGCGCATCGGATGGCCAGCTGTTCTTCGTGATTCTGTTCGCCTTCTTCATCCTGCGCGAGCGACCAACCATCTGGGCTCTCCTGTGCGCGGCGGGCGCCACCGCGGGCGCCATCCTCGTCTCGCTCCAGTTCGAACACGTACGCATTCATAGACGTCACGCATTGTGGACTGGCTTCTGGTGCGATCGTGCCTCATCGGAACACACACACACACACACACAACACACACACAACACACGCACACACCACGCAACAGGCTTGGGGTCTGGGCGACAAGTGGTGGGTGATCGGCGTCAATTTTGCGTCGGCGATCTTTGAGGGCCTGTCGATCGTCTTCCTGCGACGAGCGCGGAACATCCTGGCCAAGGCTTTCCCGGAGGAGCGCGACGTTCTGCTCATCATCCAGATCACCTTCATGAAGCTGGTCATATCCGCCCTGGCCGTGTTGCCCTTCGCTCTCGCAATCGAGGGCTGGTGGAACCCGCTCAAGGTGCCGTCACATTTACATTATATTTTATTATATATTCGGGATATATATATATCGTGTGTTATTTTACGACGTGGCTCAATGTGTGCCACACCACAGGACGATATATTGTGGAAGGCGCTGCCGGAGACGTCGTTGACCCTCATCCCCTACATCTTCATCGGCTCCATCTTCACCTTCCTGTGCGTGTTCTACTCTCTTTTTTGCTGCTTTTTCACTCCTGAGCTTCGTAGGAAGCTAACCCCGATGGTGGTGGACACACAGCTTCCAGTGCGACTACACGACTCTCACTTTCCTCGCCGGAGCGCAGGACGTGGGCGTGCTGTCCCACATCAAGATGTACGTCCTCGTCCGCCTCCTTCTCGTCACTACATAAGCAAGTCTCTCTTGCCGCGTCGGTGTACTGACGCTCGCCACATCACGACAGCGTGCCGCAGGTGGCCTTCTCGGAGGCTGTCTTCCAGAACTTTGAGCCCACCTGGGAGAAGGTGCGTGTGCGTGTGCGTGTGCGTGTGCGTGTGCGTGCATAGCACTAACATTTACGCCTGGTGGTCGCCACAGATCGTGGGCCTGGTGCTGGTGCTTGTGAGCGGAGTGTGCTATGGTGTCCTCAAGTGGTTCCACCTCACGCACAGCCATCGCCACCACCATCATCATCACAAACACCACCACGAGGAGGTCTTGCTGCTGAGCTCTCCACCACACTCTCCACCATTACTCTCCTCACCTCCCAACGACAGACTTCGATAAAATGAAAACGATGTCTTTGGAGATGAAGTAGTAGATGTGTAGTGTGTAGTGTGAAGCCGCACGTATACATGGTGAGAGAGAGGAGAGGGCAGAGAGATGGTCAAGATCACCGCTTCTCGAGGAGCTTGAACTGGCTTCGCTTCATCTTCTTCAGCTTTCTCGTGTCGGTGATCTGAGCAAGCGCGGCCCACGGTCAGTCCCATGAAAGCATCAGCAGCACACGCACACGCACACGCACACGCACACGCACGCACGCACCTTTTGGACGACGGTGGACTTCTTGAGGTTCTCCTCCTTTCGCTTGCGTCGCTCGGCGGCTTCCTTCTTCTCCTGCTCCTTCTTCTGCTGGGTGTCCTCCTTGAGGGCGCGCTCCTTGGCCTTCAGCACCTTCAGCTTCTCCCGCTCCTGCGACTTGGCCTCCCACGTCTTGTTGTACGCCTTTCCCACCAGCAACGACGAACTCCTACAATCGCAATAGAAATAAAATAATTAATTACTGTTTAAATTGGCTGAATTCGAATTAGAAAAACAGATAAGGATAGGCAATTGAGATGAAATGCTAATTAATCTCCATATGCATCTCAGTAAATTGAGCTAAATTCACGATTGCTGTTGGGTGAAGATCTTACCTCTTGTTGTTGGTCGATTTCCAGACGCGGCCCGACTTGGGCACACCCTTGGCGACGGGAATGGTGTTCTTCTTGTGCTCGCCGTGGCTGGCACCGCAACATCTCCGCCAGCCTCAGAGGCCGCAGGCGCCGTCTCCACGCTAACAGCCGTTTTTTCCGTGGTCTCCTTCGTCGTCTTCTTAGCCTTTCCCATCTTCCTTCTTCTGATGCGATTCGATTTGCGTGATTGAATTTGCTCCTTGTCGTCAACACAACTCAAATCTCCAACAGAAGAAACAAAGAACCGTTGGCCTCCTCCGGCAAGGTATTTATTTATGAAATAAATAAAATAAAACAAAATACAATAAACCAAATAAATGATGACACTGACCACAACGCCCTCACCTAACACGAAGCGAAACGGCCTGGCTGGGGCCATCCTCTCTTGTGCAAACCTACAACTGAGGATTTGGTCTCATCTGAAACTGTTTCGAAAGTTTTCGATCGAAACCTGGCGGGCCTGGGTCGGAGAAAACGATAAGGAGGCGAGAACAGGAGGGCGTCACGGGTGGGTTGGTGGGACGAGGTCTCCGGTCTCATGATGGAGGTGCTGATGATCATCAGAGGCGTCGTGCGGGTGGTGGTGAGCGCAGTTGTGGTGCCTGTGATCGTGCTTCTTCTTTGGCTGTGCAGTCACCAGACACACCGCGGTAAGTTGGGCGCGCAGAGAGAGGGTAAACACGAGACGGGAGACGCACGCGTGGTTGCTTTTCATAGGCGTTCTTGTTGTCATCGTCGCTGCTCTCCTCGCTGCTATCGCTGTCATCCCAGCTCCGCGGTTTGTGATAGATGCAACAAACTGGCGACAAAACAAGTAAATTATAGAAGATACAAAATGAAATCAGAATTAAGATGGGAGGGGTCGCGACAGGAGAGACGCGGCACGAACGCTTCGAGCTTTTCTTGTCGAGATGCTCGTTATCGATTACGTCTTCGTTCCATTTGACACCCTTCTTCTTGCGTCGCGGCGCTAATCGCAACGTCACCACGGGCGACGCTGGCGGCACTTCCTGCACCAGCAAGGTGGTGGTCGACGCCGTTGATGATGTGAGCGACATCTTCAATTACAAATTTACTGGCCTTTGTTTCTTTTGATTTTTCTCTTCTGCTCCAACCTTTTCCGAATGTTTTTATTTTATCTACAACGTCCGGTTCATGCCATGCATGTTGTTGGTTCTTCTTCTTCTTCTTCAACCACCACGTCTCGTCTACTCGCCCTCCTCGAGGTAGCGGTACTCGAACGTGAATTCCGTCTTCTTGCGCTGACACCAGCCAGTCTCGTAGTCAAAGTACACATACGTCCCCTGTACGACAAGCAGGACACGCAGATGCGTGTAAGACTTGATGAACGGAGAGAGAGAGAGAGAGAGAGGAGCGGTGGATGACGCACCTGCTCGTAGTCGTTGGTGATCTCCTTGGGCTCTTCGTGTCGCTGGAACCACGTGAGGTACTTCTTGTGGTACCGCCAGAGCTGCTTCTTCAACTCACGCGCCGCAAGATACCTAGGTAGGAGCGGAGCACAGAGAGGGTCAGTTGTGGCGTAAAGATGATCAACGTGCGGGGCGAGGATGAAAGAAGATGTATGGTTGGAGGGGGGTGGTAGTACTGTTGGTAGGTGCCCTGCTGGTAGTAGAAGATGAAGAACAGGGTGTCGGTGTCAAACTTGGAGAAGATGGCCGGGTTCTCGAAGACCGTCGACGGCAGCTGCGGGAAGGTGGCCGGCGTCGGGTAGGCATTCTGCGGCGTGTACTGTCGTGGCCGGCTGCATCGACAAACGATAATATAAGTAAATAATAATAATAATAAAAGTAAATAAATAAATGACAGAAGAGGGCGACGGGCGTGTGTACTTCTCATAGTCCATCTGCTCCGGCAGGTTCTCCATGGAGGTCTCGAGCATCTTGAGGTTGAAGAGCTGCTGCTGCTGCAGCTGGTGCTGCCTCTGCTGCTGCGCTCCCTGCTGCGGGTGCTGCGGGGGCATGCCCTGCTGCGGGTAGCCGCCTGGCATGTGGACCCCGTGGACGCGACCGAGCTCGGCCAGGGACACGTCTTCTTGTGTCGACAGACCAGCCTCCACGCCTGTGACGTTGTTTGGTGTGTCCAGCCAACAGTGTCAGCCCGCTCCCCCCCAACCACCATTACGCAGAAGCAGTAGTGGGGACGACGTACGAGCGGCGGCTGCGGCGGCCATCTCCAGGGATGCGCTGGCGGCCGAGAGGTCGGCGAGGGAGCCCGAGCTGATGGGGGTCGAGTTGTCGAACGTGTCCAAATTCTTGCTGTCCTCGGCAGCCTCCTGGAGCGTCTGTTGTTGTTGCGATCGATAGCGTGTGCACGGTTGACCGGCGTCGGTGTGAGCCCAGGCGCAGAAAAAAAAGAAAACGGCAAGAAGGAAAAGCGAACCTGCATGTACTGCTGGCGGCCCATCTGCTGCTGCGACAGCTGCATGAGCGATGGGAGCTGGGGCGAGGCCGCGCTGGGCTGCATCATCGATGGAGGCATGTGGTGCGCCGGGTGCTGCTGGTAAGGCGGCGCCGATGCGCTGCGCACCGCAAGCTCTGTGCAAGCGATAGAGAAGGATGAGTCTTCGGACACGTCGAGCGATTGCCGGGACAGTAGTACCTTCTTCCTTCATTCGCTGCGAGGGCATCTCCGGCGGTGGCGTTGGGCTCGCTGGAGAACACGGTGATGCGTTAATGAACTGTGTGCAATCCAGCGAAGCCACCTACAAGAAGAGACTTGTACCTTTGCCTCTGCGCGGCGACGTGGTACCTTGGCCGGCCTGGGAAGCGGCGGTGGGGCCGGCGGCTGGCCGCTGCTGCTGCGGCTGGCTGGGCGTGGCCACGAGGGCAGGCGGCTGCTGGTGCGAGACGGCCGGTTGCTGCTGCGGAGGCTGGGGCTGGTGAAGCAGGGGCTGCTGGACCTGGGGCTGGGCTGGTGGCTGCTGGGCGGCGGGAGGCTGCGGCTGCGATGGTGGCTGCTGCTGGGCCGCCGCAGGTGGCTGGTGGTGGGTCGCCGAGGGCTGGCTTCCGAGGAGGACGTCCCGCGCTGTTCGCTTCATGGTCTCAGGCACAGGCGCGCTTGAGGCGAGCTTCTTTTGTGCGGGCGCTGCTCGAAAGAAAAATTCGGCCAGCCGGTCAGCTTACAATCAACAAGGTCGCACACGCACCGCACACTGACGCACGCACGCACGACCGCACACGCAGGGCAAGGCGTACCAGGGGTGGGAATGGGGAGAGAAGTCGTGGGCGTGGGGATGGGCAAGTGAGAGGGTCCGGCCTTGGCGGCGGCGGGTGTTGGCGTCTCCTGGCGCTCGGGCTTGGCCGCGGGTGCCGGCTCCGGTTTGCTTTCGACGGCGGCGGTCTCCTCGCGAGCCTCCTCCGACTCCTCGTTTTCGCCATCTTCCTCGCCTGATCGTACGATTGACGACGACGACGACGACACGAAACCACGGTAAGCCACTGTCCGACTGGCACTGTGTGGTTGTGTGCAGTGCAGTGATGCGGACCTTTCTTTCGCGTGTTCTTGAGTCCGACTTGACTCGATCGTAAGCCGCCAGAAGGCAGAGAGCTGGCCACCGCGGAGGCAAACGAAGCCGGGAATCCAGAACTGCACGAGAGAACGAATAGGCGTAAACGTCATCGCGTGAGTGTGCGAAGAAAACTGAACGTTGGATCGTCGGCTAACGGGGAGGAGGAAGGATTGATAGCCTCTCGTACCTGGTAGGCGGAGACGAGGAGAGGGGAGTAGCCGACGGAGTGGTGTTGGACGAGTTGGGCGAAGAAGTGTCGGGCGTCGCCGAAAGCGATCCTCCGGCACCGTGCGCCAGGTTCAGTTCATCATACAGCTGATCGTCCTGTGTAGAACAACGAGTAGAAGAAGAGGATTGACTTCGTGATGAGAAAGAGTTGCCAAAGAGCGCTGGTGGTGCACGTCTTTGTGTAGTGCGACGAACCTCATAGAAGTCGGCCTCCTGGTTGCTGTCAATATAATACTCTACACCGTCCCTGATAGCGTCCACCTGTCGACGTGGGAAGCAAGAATGACAAGCACGCGGTGAGCATGATGGAGAAGAGCGTAAGTAAGAAAATGTACAACGTACGTCCTCCTTTGCCACAGTCTCGTTGTCGAGCTTGCGGAGAATCTGTTCGAGCGCCTCCTCGTGATAGTGATGCTTCTTCACCAGCACCTTGAGTCGCTCCAGGCGATCCACAAACTCGACGCTCCGCTTGCCCTTCTTGGCCGCGAGGCCCTCGATTTCAGTGTCGAGCGCGTCGATCTGTGACCGCAGCTTCGTCAAGCATTTGCCGATCCTGTCTCGAGAAGGAGGAAGTAAGTGCGTGTGAGTGTTGTACCACTGCACCTTCGTCATCAACGAGATAACACTGCTGAAGAAGAAGAAGGGGACTGAGGGACTGAGAGGTAACCGTACCACTTCTTCGTTTCCGTGTTGGGGTCCTCATCCTTGGCAAGCGCCGCCTGCTGCAGACCCTCCTTTGAGAAGGCCTTCGTCTTCATCTCCTTTTCACACACCTTGAACTTTTCCATGTTCTGTTGCGGCGTAGGCAGGCAATTGAGCATCAAAATTGAACATAAGCCACGCACATGTGGAGGGGGCGAGCATGGAGAGGTAAATGCGCACCGCCTCGATCATTTTTCGCGCCTCCACGAGGGCCTTCTTGTCCTTGATTACGTTTGACTGAGTCCATGTCTTGATCTGGTCTCGATACCGCTGGAGCTTCTTAATGGCCTTCTTCAGATCCGTTTCATACTTTTCCTTCTGATTGCTGCTTGCGGCAGTGTTGACCTTTCGTAAGATGTCTTCAAATTCTTTGGCCCCTTCTTGGACCTTTTTTAATACTCGGTCGATCTCGCCTGCAAGTTGGAGGGGGCGTCAGTGTACTGCCACTTCTATGCTGCAGATGGCACCGATGCTGGCTAATTAAACGATAAACGATAACAAATTTAAATGGAAAAGAAAAACTATCCACTCGATTGAGCGCCCGCACCGAGTAGTTTTCGTTGGGCCTGCGTCATGGAAGAAATAGCGAATATGAATCGAAGAGTCCAACTAATCGATCTGTACTCGACCGATCTGCGTTCTCTGATGAGTTGGTCGCCCCTCGCTCAGCTCTTTAGTATTTTGTCCATTTTTTTAAATCCCCCAAAAATCCTGCCACGGCACGTGTCTCGTGTGTGTGCGTGCGTCGCGTCTGGCGTGTGCGTGTGCGACGAAAGATCAGCAGGCTAAAGCTAGCGGTAGCGGATACAGTTCATGTTCGTCCTGGGTACTCTTCCTCTCTTTTTACATTCGCTCGCCGTTGGTCCTCCAGCTCGCGCTCGCGAGCCATCATCCAGGCGTGGAACTGGGCCTGGCGGTCGTCGAGGTGTTTGACCTTGGTGTCGAGCACAACGAGCAGCGTGATGATGTACTCCATCTGACGGCTGAAGTCGTTCATCCGCTCGTTCATCTGATTGTTCAGCGCCACCACCAGCTGCTGCGTGATCGACATCTCGCCCACCCCTGCGCACCACGTCTTGTGAGGCACGCGCGCTCCGCACACAGCATCGCACACGCACATGCTTAAAGGCGCAACGAACCTTCCGTGTGGGCCTGCATTTTGAGGACTTGTTCGATGGTGAGATCACTCCTGTCCCACTCGTTGGCCTCGCCCCAGAGGCTGCCGGTCATGCGTGCGCCCCACAGGTTCTCGGCCTGGCGCGGTTGGTTGCGTCGACGTGGCGGGCCGCCGCCCACAATGTACTCCCCGCGGCTCCGCGCGTACCCTACACCCTCCTCCTCGCTCCAATCCATTGCACCCTGCTCATCCCAAGCATCTGCATCTTCATCTTCTTCATCATCGTCACCGTCCACCTCCTTCTTGTGGTCTCGCCTCTGCTCGTCGATCTTCTCCTCTTCGTGGTCATCGTCGTGGTCGCGCCCTACGTTCGACTTCAGCCTCTGCGAAAAGTGCGCTGTGTGGTGGGTCATCAAGGCCAATAATAATAATAAAAAAAGAAGGACAACTGAGTACCTGCATGTTGGCATAGACGGCGTCAAACAGCGTCTTGTCGAGCTGGCCAGGGGGGTCGCTTCCTCTTCTGTCGTCTCCCTCCGGACTCGATCCACGCTCAGGCTCAGCTTCTCTCGCACCAGACCGATCCACCCCCTTGCATGCAAACGAATCATGTTGTCAGCAGCTGGTCAGTGATTGTGCGGCGCCATGCAGGCGGAATGCAAGCGCACCTCTTCTTGCTGTGTTGGAGAACCAGCGCTCGACGAGGAAGGAGTCGGTGACGGAAACGCAGTATCGGGTGCTGTGGACGGGAGTGGAGGAGGCGGCGGTGGCGGCATCGAGTGAAGAGAGGGAGAAGAGGGGCCAGGGGAAGAAGGAGCAGTAAGCCCTGGAGGAGGACGGAACGTGCGAGAGGAGGAGGAAGTGGAGGAGGAGGAAGTGGAGGAGGAGGGAGAAGGCCAGCAGAGCGCGGGTGGTCAGCTGAGTGCATGGCCGCTGGTGGCCCTGATGTCGGTCGAGTGCATGACCGCTGGTGGCCCTGATGCCGGTCGTGGCTGCGGTGCCGTCGCCGTCGCCGTGGCTGCTGCCTTCTCTTCTTCGTCTCGCCGGCGTCTGGCTCTTCCCTCGCGCTTGCGCGCCGCCTTGCTCCCGGCTCGCTCCCATCCCAGGGCACTGGTGCTCTCTGCAATTGCGCGCTTCGCTCGCTGATGCACTCGCCAAAGGGCCCTCTTCCACTTCCGCTTTCTCGTCAACAGCAGCCGTGGGTGGTGAAGATGAAGGCGAAGGTGGTGAAGGATCCAGGGTGGCTTGGCTCGTGCCGCCGGGTTCGGCAGGGCACACTCTTTTTCTTCTTTTGCTTCTTCTTGTGTTTCGATTTCCGCTTTACTTCGCGTTCGGCTTCGATGAGGGCCAGCAGTTGGGCTTCGGCCGCCCTGGCCTGCTCCTCCTTCTGCTTGATGTCCTCTGGCGCCGCGCTCTGGCTGCCCTTCTTGCCGGCACCACGTCGCATCTGAGGTCGGGCATCGCGCAGGACTGCAGCCGCTAGCGATGGGGGCGTTGGAAGCAACGATTGATCCTTCTCCAGGTCCGCCCTCAGCAGTTGATTAATCGCATCTGAAAAATTGGGCGTGCTCTCCATTCATCAATCGATTTCCATTCATTATTTTATTTTCATTTTTAATAATCCAAAAAAAGCAAAAAAGCAAAAAAGAAATCAGGAGAAAATGCCCCATTCGCGGATGATGTGCAACACCACTCTTCCGTGGAAGTGCGACGGGCTGGCGCGGGGGACGGAAGCTCAGGAGACTTAACGATTGGCTGGTATGTAATGGCTCTCTTCTTCCTGTTCCCGCTGGCGGTTCCGCCGCGGTTTTCCCCTGGTCCCGCACTTTCCGCCACATCCGAGCTAAGTGCTGTTTGACATCTAGGCGAGACCCAGGCCACACACAACTATATAAGCACAGGCCCTGCAGCACAGCAGACTCACTACAACCCCAAAGGTCTTCGATCCACCAACACATCATCACCAACAATCCACACTCTTAAACCCACATGACCGACGACTTTCGATTCGCGACAGTCACCCAGGCGCTCGAGCACTATGCCAAGTCGCCCGCCCACAGCCGGAAGGCCGCGATCATGCACGCCAGGCCCGGCCACGGCGCCGCCGCCGGCTACCAGACCCTGACCTTCCACGCGCTCAACCAGGTCACGGCCCGGCTGGCCAGCCACTACGAGACTGTCTTCAACAAGCAGCAGCGGCAGCAGCAGGGCGGCGGCCCTTCTAAGATCAAGAACGTGGCACTCTACGCCAACAGCAGCCCCGAGTACATACTCTCGCTCTGGGCTCTGTTGAGGGCCGGCTACGTGCCGCTGTGCCTGTCGCCCCGCAATTCGGCCGCGGCGGTGAGCCATCTGGCGACCAAGGCCCAGGCGGCCACGGTCGTGCGCGGCCGCGAGAGCAATCTGGTGGCTACCACTGACGCCCTCCTGCGCGAGGGCGCCATCGGCAACGTGGTCGACGTCATCTCGCCCGAGGAGCTGCAGGCCATCATCGACAGCGTGCAGGCGGGACAGGCCCCGGTACTCGAGGAGACCACCACGCCCGGCCGCGCCCAGCCAGACCTCAACTCACCTGCCCTCATGCTACACAGCAGCGGCAGCACAGGTCAACATTTTAACACTTACATTGTTTTTTGTTGATGTTTATTTGTGAATTACCATGACACCGTGTGTCATGTGGGTGGCTAACGAAGAGATGATTCCAGGCACCTTTCCCAAGCTGGTCGTGGTGCCGCAGCGCTACGTGGCTTCGCTGCTCACCTACAAGTGGTTCGGGGAGCAGGCCCAGCCGGATGACGTGTCCTACGTGCTGCCGCCGTTCTACCACGCCTACGGCATTTTCGTCTCCTTCAACAACCTGGGCCACGGCACCACCGTTGTCCTGCCCGCCGTCCCCAGCTGGCCGCCCACCACCCAGGTACTTTGTTGCATTGCAACACATTCTTCATTCGTGGAATTCCTCATTTTTGCCCCACATTCTTACAACATTCCTTAACAATATGCAGATGTTGGTGGAGAACATTACCGAGACCAAGTGCAATGTGCTGTGCTTGCTCCCGTGGCTGCTGGAGAGCATGCAGGCCGAGGCCGAGGAGGCCCAGGACGAGTGCATCTACAAGCTGCTGGCCGGCATGCGCGCGGTCACCTACGCCGCGGCGGCGCTCAACGAGCGCGTGGGCGACGCGCTCCACCGCAAGGGCGTGGTGCTCATCAACGGCTATGGCAGCAGCGAGGCCGGCCTCGTCGCGGCCAATCAGTATAACAGGCACGCTTGCTCACCTGCTCTACCCCATTCTCCAAATTCCATTTATCTCACGCGTGTCGTGTCGTGTGCGTGTCGTGTCGTGTGCGGTGTGAACACAGAATCGATCCCTGCACCCACTGGAACCACATCCAGATCCTGCCGCACGTGCACCACACGATGGAGTCGCACGTCGGGCGCCGGCCCAATCTGTACCGCCTCGTCATCAAGCGCGACAACCCGATGCTCGCGCTGGGCCAGGCCAACACGCCCGAGGGCGACTACGACATGAACGACATCCTCGAGCGCGTATTCGAATGCAAGCCCGGGCGCGCGTGCTATGTCCTCCGCGGCCGCGTCGACGACGTGATCGTGCACAGCACCGGCGAGAAGACCAACCCGACCCCCATGGAGGCCGCCGTGCGCAACCACTGCCCTGCCGTACTGGCCGCCGCAGTCGTGGGCCAGCAGCGCTTCAGCACCGCGCTGCTGGTCGAGCTCAAGCCCGGCATCGAGCCCACGACGCCCGACGTGCTCGAAAGCCTGTGGCGCGCCGTGCAGGTCGCGAACCAGACCGCGCCGCAGCACAGCCGCATCCTGCGCGAGATGATCCACGTCATGGGCGCGGGCGAGGGCGGCGGCATCCCGCGCACCGACAAGGGCAGTCTGCGGCGCAAGCACATCGAGGAGCGGTTCAAGGCCCGCATTGACGAGCTCGCGCGGTTCGCCGGAGTGGCCCCCGAGGCCGAGGCCGCGGGCCTCAGCGACCCGCGCGACATCGCCGCGTGGCTCGAGCAGCGGCTGGTGCGTCTCTACAACGACCAGACCGTGGCGGCGGCGGCCGTGCCGGGCGAGAAGCTGTCGGGCCTGGAGCATGACGTCAGCATCTTTGCGCAGGGCTTCGACTCGCTGCTGGCCACCCAGTTCTACCACCAGTACCTGCGCCCGGCCTTCCCCAACCTCAAGCTGCCCGCCAACCTGCTCTACCAGTGCTCCGACATCGACCACCTCGCCGCCCGACTGGCCGCCATGCTGCAGGGCGGCGCCGCTGCGGGTGGCGCCGACGAGCGCAACACGGTGCGGCAGGCCGAAGAGCTGTACGAGAAGTACCTGCGGCAGCTCGACGAGGATCACGCGCGCGGCCTGCAGGCCGGCGGTGCCTACGCGCGGCCCGCTGTCGAGCGGGTGGTGCTGACCGGCTGCACGGGCGGGCTGGGCCTGTTTCTGCTGGCCCGGCTGCTCGACAGCCCCCGAGTGGAGCGGGTCTACGCCCTAGTCCGCGCCGGCGGCGGAGGTGGTGGCAGGGAGTCGGTCGAGGCCAAGCTGTCGCGGGCGCTTCGGGGCAAGCTGCTCGATCCGGCGCTGGCTGAGCACGACAAGCTCACGCTGTGGGGCTGCCACCTCAACCGGCCCAAGCTCGGGCTGGCCGACGACCAGTGGGACGAGCTAGCCCGCCACAGCACCTCCGTCATCCACAACGTACGTTTTGTAACCGCACACGACACGCGCGACGCACGCGACGCCGCTCACACCGTGGGCGTGCGCAGGCCTGGCTGCTGAATTTCGAGGCGACGCCGATCGAGTTCGAGGAGAGCTGCATCAAGCCCAGCTACGAGCTCATGCGCCTGTGCAGCGCCGATGCGCTGAAGCAGTACATGTTCGTCTCCAGCATCACCGCCGCGATCCGCAACGTTGCAGGCCCCCAGGGCACGGTGCCGGAGCAGGTGGTCGACGACCAGCACCGCGCCAGCGCCATGGGCTACGGCCAGAGTAAGCTCGTCACCGAGCGCCTGGCCGCCCGCTACGCCGAGCGCTTCAGCGTGCCCGTCACCATCGCCCGTGTGGGCCAGATCGCAGGCGACTCCATCCACGGTACCACCCGCCTCACACTCACATTCCATTCATTGCTCGAATTGCTCATGCTGACGTGGCGTCGGCGCAGGCACGTGGAACACGAGCGAGCACCTACCGCTGATGATCAAGGCCATCGAGACGCTGCGTGCGATGCCGGACCACTACATGAGCGTGGACTCGCTTCCGGTCGACGTGGTGGCGGAGACGATGACCACGCTGCTGACCGACGCACAGCTTCCAGGCGAGACCGAGGCCGAGCGCAAGAACACGCGTGTGGCCCACCTGGTCAACCCCGTGGAGCTGCCCTGGCTCGACTTCCTCAAGATCCTGCAGTCGCCTGACCTCGGCCTGCCCAAGTTCCGGGTTGTCAAGGCCCGCAAGTGGCTACGGCTACTGGAGGAGTCCTCGCCAGACCCTGTGGCCAACCCCATCAAGAAGCTCCAGGGCTACTTCGCTGACATGTACACCGCTGAGGAGGTGACCACAACCAAGGCGGAGTCCCAAGGCCTGGAGGCCAAGTTTGAGACAGTGCGCACAACCCAGCTGGTGCCCAGCATGCACTACAACCTGAACCATGACTTCTGGTGCAAGGTCATTGGCCACTGGCGTGACATTGGCTTCCTCCAGAGGTTGGCCTAGTGACCCACACCAGTCACTGTTGCTTGTAAACATGGCTCTCTTTCCCACTATGTGTCAACTATCAGTTGGTCAGGCTGGTCTTATAGCAGTCTTCTTGGAAACTGGTGAACTTGTCTGGGTGAAGGGGACCCTGTGGATTGAAATGTCACTCAGGGCAATGGAGAAGCAGGGCTCAAATGAAGAAGCAGTGGTTCTCAAGCCCAATTTATGGTGAGATTTGGCCCCCTTTGGGAGTTTGGAACTGTGAGGCTATTTCTATGGCAAAAACTAATTACAAAGCCCACTACAAAAACACTAGAGGAATCCACGGCACTCATAGGCACCACAGAGGCATGGCTGTTGGCCTTTGGCACCAGGTGACATCTGATAGTCCCAGGTCAGTTCAGTACCCTGTGGAATGTCAAACCCTGCAAAGAAGCATGGCCTGCAGTGGCATTGTCAGAAAAAAACACAAAAAATGAGCCAAAGAGCACAGAGCCACACAGTGTAGGGAAGCATACTTGGCAAGGCGCAGATCCTGTAGCCCACTTACCACAGGGACAATCCACAGGTTGGGGTGGCATGAATGCTGCCATATGTGTGTGCACACACACACACACACATGTACAGATTGGGTCAAACACTATTGGCAACTCCACTGTGCAGAGAGGGTTACATACATTGACAAAGTGTGAGATGTTGCCTCTCTCATGGGGGTTGACCACATAGGGTTCATCCTCACCATAGAGCTGCATCCGCAGCCCTACTGAGTTGCTGTCCTCCTCCCCTTCCTCCTCCTTATCATTCTCAGCCTCTGAACCCACTTGGGGTTGTGCTGCATACCAGTCTTCACCATCATCCTCATCTTGTAGGACCAGTGATGTGAAGAGTTGTGGCTCACTCTTGGGCTCCTTCAGGATTGCCTTCTCCCCCATTGCTGTTGTGGTCGTCATGGTTGTTGTGGTTGTTGTCGCCAGCGCCAGTGTTGCCTCAAGATCGGTGACCATGACGACCTGCGGCGAGTCACAGGCATCGATGGTCGTGGGCTTCTTTCGCTTGGCAGTCTTGGAAGACCAGGACACGCCCGTCTTCCTCCGCCGTTTGCGCTTCTTTGTGGACGCTTTCTCGTCGCCCGCCTGCTCGATCTTCACCTTGGCCTTCGCCTCGGCCTCGGCCTCGGCCGCGGCCGCGGCAGCCAGCCGGTCCTGCTCCTCCATCTCCGTGGCCTTCTGCTTGCGCCACTGTTCCATCGACTCCAGCATGTCCAGGTCGAGGAGGTAGGTGTCGCTCTTGACCTTCTACGCGTGCGTGTGTGGTGGTACGTTTGTGAGTGTTTTGTGTGTGTGTGTGTGTGTGTTTCAGTAGATTGGGAAGTGAAGAGAAACTGGAACTGGAACTTACCTCGGCCATCTCGTTCGTGATGATCTCGCCCACGTACTCCATCACGAAGCTGCCGGAAGGAATGTCCTCGAGTGTGCGAATGCCCCAGCCCTGTGTGTGGCCGTGCGGGAAACCATTCCATCAGCAACACTACCAAAAGTACTAACGCGCCACTTGTCTCAAAACACGACGACAACACCACGTGACGACAACACGACGAGGCTTGCGTGAGAGAGAGAGAGAGAGAGAGACCTTGTGTTTCGTTCGGAAAAGCTGAAGCTTGAAGTTGATTCCGCTCTGCGTGGCTCGGTTGCTGCAGGCCTTGCCCGCACACTTACACAACCGACCGCACTCCATGATCCTGCAGGGGTTGGTGTTATGCATCGCGCACGGCCATCGGTCATCAGGAATGCGAATAATGTGCAAAATTCAAATAAAGGAATCAAGGAAGCACGGTGAGCAGGTGCGCGTACATGGGGTAGTCACCCGGCACGCGGCCGTTCGAATCGTACGTCGTTCGGGGCACGGTCGCTCCAGCAAATTCCTGCGTCTTGATGATGCACTCGCACTTCGTGGGATCTGCGATTGATCGTTCCACGTACATATTGCGAGGTGAGATATCCGCCGCAATGTCCGTTGATTGATGGTGTGCGGCACGCGGACTAACGAACGAACGAACGAACGAACGTACCTTGGCACCCGTCGGTGCAGCTGCAGCACACAAACGGAACATCGAACCGGATGCCGATGGACGGGTGGATGATGGAGGTGCTTATGTACTCGAACGGCTCCGGTCTCTCCTCCGACCGCACGTTGACGCACTCGATGGGAACCTGTTCTCGACCCTCGCTGATGTCGTCGATGTGCAGTAGCTCGGGCTTCGGCGTCTTGGTCGCCTTTCTGGGCTTGGACCGGCGCTCCGTAGAGCTTTGTCGTGTGTACTTACGCGCCTTGCGCTTCCTGCAAATACAATTTAGCACAAATAATAATAATAATAATAATAATATTAAAAATAACAACAAAATAGCAAACAAAAAAGAGAGGAAGACACGCACTTGGCGGCCTTCTTGTTCTTTTTCTTCCGGCGCTCGGCGGTACCGATGCGATCGGCGTTACCGAAGGCCAACGGATAAGCTTTGGAAGCCTTACGCTTCTCCGACAGCTTGACCTCCTGCTTCCAATTGTAGCTGAAGTTCTCGATGCTCAAGTCGGTGATGCCCTTCTGCACCAGATACCTGCCAACCTACACCACGCCAAACAGACGGCACAAGAAGAAGCGCGTAAGCACAGACGCCCGCGCATCACTGCACGCGTGGAAAGCGGCGTGAGGGTACCTCTACGCGCGAACGAAGCTTCTTGCCGTCGGGCGCATGGTAGTACACGTCTTTGCGGATCTTGGCCGTTGCACCAGACTGCCTGGTCACCACCTGAAGAAGAAAAGCGACCATTATTTAAATGAGCTGAGATCGAAGCTGCTTCGTGTGTGTGTGTGTGTGTGTGTGGTGAGTACCTCTCGCGTCCAGCCAGCTCGCAGGGGCAAGCTGAGCGGGTCGTTGTCGTCATCATCGTTGTCATCTTCGAGAGGAGCTGTGCTCTGTTGTTTCTCTCCCTCCTCCTCCTCCTCCTTCTCCGCGTCCTCGTCGCTGTCGTTGACCTGCTTGGCCTTCTTGGCTCTGTGCGAGCTCGTCTTCCGGCCCTTCTTTTCGCTCTTTCGCTTCCGCTTCTGCTTTCGTTCGCGAACGGAGCTCACGACCTCCTCCGCCTCCGCCTCCTGCGCCTCTTCATCCTCTTTCTCGTTCTTCGCCCACGCTCCGGCCTCCGTCGTCTCGTCTTCCATCGTCTTCGACTCGCTGTCGTCCTCGAGCAGCATCGATTGCCGACGGCCGTCGTCGCTGGCCTTGGTGACGGCTCGCTGGGCGAGCTCCTCCTGCTTTTGGTTCCACTCGGAGAAGGCGGGGGAGTTGATCAGCTCGGACCACAAGTGGTCTTCGTGGCCGAGGCCCACTTGCCTCGGTTCTTGCGACGAGCCGGCATCGCCACCAGCCGCCACCGTCGCCGCATCGTTGTGGCCCTCGTTGCGACCGGTCACAACTGGGCGAATCTTGGCGAGAATGTCTGGGGCATCAGACGAGTCGCGAGCCGAGTCCGTGACAGCTGGCTTGCTGTTGAGCGCTTCCCTTCCGTCGATCAAAAGAGCTACGTGCATTGATGTCAGAATGATACAGCATGCCAGATGTAAAGAATCTCAATTCACATGCGCATGTATGATACAGCATGCCAGATGTAAAGAATCTCAATTCACATTCTTTACATCTGACTTTTGAGCATGGTAGCAGGCACATTTTCAAGCAAGGAAGCACCTGCTCGATCTGCACTTGACACCTGCTCGATCTGCATCGATGCTGAACTACTTGTCTGATTTTCGTCCATCTCGCTACGTTACCAAAAAGATTGAAAAATCACAAAAGTAAGCACATAAAGAGCCGAATTCTGGTTGGCCGAGAGAGCGAACGTCAGGTGCCGCGATCGATGCCGGCCGAGAGCAACGAAAGAAGAATCAGCTGCCCCACGCCCACTGGACCAAAAAAGGTGGCTGCTTGGTGGCGAATCACGCGGTGGTGGGGGTATTGGGGTCCAGGGGGATCCCAGCCTCTCGGCCAGGCGATTGGTTGATGAAGCAGAGTTGACTCTCTGCGTTGAGTTTGCTCGACAGGCGAGGTCTATGCCGACCCCGCCCGCACGAACACTGTGAGCTCCCGAAGGAGCTACCACGAGGTAATTTGCTTCATGATGAAGGAGTCTTCGAACTCCGTGCTACTCACAATCAGATGGTAGAATCGAAGCATGAATTTCATCTTTGCAAGCCGGGCCACCACACCCAAGCCGCAGACCGGCACCCTTGCCTTCTTGTTCGCAGCCCACGCCGGGCACTACCCATTGTGGGATTTATGAGAACATTTTCAGAAAGAATTCAAAGAAGGGCCATAATTCCTCACATGTTTGTCATTCTTCGTTTCCTCGAAAGAAGGGTTCTTCCTTTTTTTTGAGACGGAGCAGGGAGACACGCTCCCGGAGGCTTTAGCCACCCACAGATGCGTCCGCGCGATGATGGAGTCCGTCCTCTGTCTCGACAAGTCGTACAAGTCCTTCCACCACGGCCACGATGCCACCTTCCCCAAGGCCTGTAGGTGTCGTGTGAAGGTGCGCTGGCTGGGCGAGGTGATGCTACACACCCGCCCGTACGAGTGCGACGACTACGACCCCAACGACGCCGGCGATGACAATGACGACGACAACAAAGACTCAGACTTGAGATTGTCAAGCCTAAAAAGGCTCGGCTCTCCACCGAAGAGCAGGTCCTAGTCGACGGGTTCTACGGGAGGCCCCGCTCCTTCGCTTCACCGCAGAGCACGGCCCTCTTTCGTCACGACAACCTGGGCAAGATCGCCGTTGTGCTGGGCAAACGCAGACTGCGCCGGCGCCGCGGACTGCCGACCGCCGCGGCTCTACAACGGGGAAATGGCGGCCGTGTCCGTCGCAGTGATCAGTGGCCCTTCAAAGGCCTTTTGCTTGCGGCGGGTCCGACGATTTGCAGAGCCTTCTCCCGAGCGTGAGCGATTGCGAGAAGGGGCACAAACATAAGCATCAGACGAGATCCGCATCGAGGTGTTGTTGGACGCCGCCGCAGCCGCCGAGGGTGGACCGCACACCATCGATGGCGCCGATCAAGAGCAGCGCTGGCACCCGGCAGGCACCCTGGGCCAGCCCGACGTCGATGCGCTCTGGGAGTGCGCCACGCCCTCTAAGTTTGGCGACCTGCGCTCCGGCACCGATGTGCTCGACGAGGGCGTGTGTCGCGCCCGCGAGATCCTGACGGACCTCCTACGTTTGGTATTGCCGCACGGCCGCTCGATCGCTTGGGAGCAGACCACGTTGGTCGGCACCGTACTCAAGACCGCCCTCTCGGTCCTCCAGCCGGGCCACCCTTGCGCCATTTAACCTCTGCGGCCCGGGCGGCTTCTTTGTCGACCACGTCGACACGCCCCGCGATCGCGCCATGATCGGCACCGTAGTCATCGGACTACCCTCGAGCCACGCCGGCGCGCTGGTCGTCACCACTCGGGCGCCTCGTTCGTGCACCAGTTCGCCAGC